ATACAAGCCTTTTTACATAGAACATCAGATAAAGGAGTGCCTGACCGTGGTCTCCTAGTGGTGTATCTAAATTCAACTGGCTCCCAACGTGGGGCTCGAACCCACGACATTCATCAGATATGGCGGGAGATAACGATCGCCAAGCCAGCATGGGTGAAGTAGCCAAGAGGACAAGAAAAGGTAAAACGCCACAACGAGTACAAATTGACGAAGAGGTCACCGACGGTAACGAAACCGAGTATTTTGACAATGAGGATGAAGGAGGATCCGAATCGGACGACGATAGCGACCGATACGATTACCGCACCCTGGCCAAAATCTTGGAGACGGTTCCAAAGCTCACGTCACGCAACTATTACAGTTGGAGCACACTCATCAAGGCCAACCTTCGAGTAGTCCCTCATGCCATACGACACTTAGAGGGCACGTACGATAGAAACCACCCGAAATGGAACAGAACTTTTGACAACGCCCTAGTGGGTGTCCTACGAAGCACCTTAGACACCGAAGGAGAGTACAACGTTCTTTACCTCCTACTCGACATCAGCAAGAACCACCTGACCTGCCATCAAGCCTGGAAGAAGATCGAAAGGAGCCTCACCAGTGAAGTAGCTAGAACCTCGCGACGGATAGCATTACTTGCCGAGCTCAATGAGACAAAAATGTTTCATGCTGACGCCCGTAAGCTAATCCAAGAGATCAGGGTCCTACAGACGGAAACTAGCCTTCTAGGTGCTCCATTTAGTAACGATGCACTATACTCCGCGCTCCAGAGATGCACGATTCGACACCCAGTCTACAAGGAAACAGTCGCCACGGTTCACCAGGTCAGCTTCGATGCCCTAGCAACGGCGTTGACTACACGCCAGTCTGCAATGGAGAGTGTACCCGGCCAGAAAGTGGACCCACGTCAAGCAAGTGCTAGAACGGCTGTGGGAAGCGAAGAACAGGCCGAGGACACTGAGTCGGACACGGGCAGCACAAAAACCAAGTCAAAGAGAATTCGTTGCTGGGTATGCAAGCGCTACGGACACGGCGCCAGCAAATGCGATGCTTCTGTCGCCATCCCCGAAAATTCCCCCCTCACCAAGACCAACTAGGAGGTCTGGTGCTCTTTCACCCCGAGTTGGCGGCAGCTCCCAAAACCAGAAGGAACCACACGTTGGATCTTGGATTCGGGAGCGAGCTACCACATGGTTAATGACCACAGCATGCTCATCCACCCAAGAAATTGCAGAAAGCGCGTGTATACCGCTGGAAGCGAAGTACTGGAAGCAACTGCTGTGGGAGATACCAACATAGCGACAGAACATGGAGACGTTTATCTCCAAAATGTGTTGTATGTTAGAAAACTCAATATTAACCTGTTGTCAACCAACTCACTCACAGATGAAGGAGCACGTGTGACTTTAGACCCCACAGGCGGGCAAATACACCTAGCAAATGGCATGTTATTGAAAATAGCGAAAGATCGCGAGCGTGGACTATTAGAGTTCCGAGGCAACACATGGCGACAAAGCGCGATGACTACATCAACACCGCTGTTTGAAGGGGTTGATGAAGAGTTCGAGCTGGCCGATCGGAGACCAAAGATCTCCACAAGACAGCTCTGGCATGAACGTCTAGGACATCCAGGTCGAGACAAGTCCAGAGCAATTGTAGATAAATTGAAAGGCGAACCTGTAGCAGCATTGGACCCAGATACAGCTCTGATATGTGAGCAGTGTATACGGTCCAAAAGTACGGCCGCCCGGATGGGGCGAGGCAGCGGCGAAACAGCCGCGGGGCCCCTAGATCTCATCCACATCGATCTGATCATAGACTCATCCCGCGTGACAGAATACACGTGCACATTGGTGCTTGTCGACGACCATAGCAAGTATGTGCACGCACAGCCACTCTTACGAAAGAGTCACGCATTCACGCAACTCAAAAGAATAGTTTCGTTCCTAGAGACACAGACGGGCAGAAAGCTGAAAGCAATCCGATCTGATCAAGGAACTGAGTGGAAGAGCAACGAAGCATTGGAATGGTCATTAGAAAAGGGCATAGAGTGGCAAACCACTGTCGGTTACAACAGCAGACAAAACGGACGAGTAGAACGGATGAATAGGAGCCTGGGTGAGAAAATGCGAACGCTGTTGATGCAAAGGAGTTTACCAAAGAGATTTTGGCCGCACGCCATACGAGCGGCGGCATTCAAAATCAATCTTACTCCCAACGTTGACGGAGAGTTTCCATATCAGCTCATGTTCAAGAGATCACCAAAACGATTCGTCAGTCTCATGCGTGTATTTGGATGCTTAGCTTGGGTAAATATTCCAAAAGCTAAGCGAAACAACAAGAAGCTGGACCAACGAGCGGTTGCAGCCGTATTCATAGGGTACAGCTTAGAAAGAAAGGGATGGCTATTCTATAGCCCTGATTACTCTCCGAACGTTTTCTGGAGCAACTCGGCAAGGTTCATGGAGACACAGTGCTGGTCAGACCGATCAGAATGGCGGCCAATAAGTATCCGACCTCCACCAGTCCCAACTATTGAAGAGGACATCGATGATCTGGGATACACAGAGGAGAACCTATTTGATGAGAGGGAGCAAGAGCCTTTGGAAGAGCACGTGGACATGGAACTAACTCTCGAAGAGGAAGGACTCGGAGGACCACATTGTGACGATGAGAACTCTAACGGGATACCAGAGGAAAGGAGAACGACGAATGAGAGGGAAGAGTATGCACCGGTGCCACCCGAGGAGAGAGGCCCATGGCCGAACTGGAGGCCAGCTAGAGACATGCGCAACCCGGAGACCTGGGTAAAGAAGAGTTACTTCGGGTTGACGGCGGCTAAGGTCAAGGAAGGAAAGGACAGCCTGAACCCAACTGTCCACGAAGCGCTGGCCGGAAAGGATAGGAGGTTCTGGGAAGAGGCAATGCGCAAGGAACTGGATGGGCTTGAAGCGATGGGAACGTGGGAAACGACTGACCTACCGCGGGGTATGAACACAGTCGACACACGATGGGTACTCAAGATCAAGACTGATGCAAACCTCATCCCCACAAAGTACAAAGCAAGATTGGTAGCGCGAGGGTTTACACAAAGAGAGGGCTTAGACTACACAGAGATATTTGCGCCAGTGGCACCCATCCAGGCAATAAGGGGAGTGCTGGCCATCGCAGCCGTACGGGACTGGGAGGTTGATTCCATCGATGTCAAACAGGCTTACCTCAATTCGAGCCTACGTCATGATGTTTACCTAAAGCCACCGGTAGGAACTAAGGTACCTCCAGGAAAGGTATTGAAACTCATAAAAGGGCTCTATGGTCTAAAACAATCAGGTCGGGAATGGAATATCGAGCTAGATACCCACCTCCGAAGTATCGGCTTCCACTGCATGCCGAGCGCCCCATGCCTTTACTCAAGAGGAGCGGGCGACCAACTCACAGTCATTACGGCATATGTGGATGACATGCTGATAGCATCGCCGTGCAGGAAAGAAGTCGACCGTACCAAAGCCGAGATAATGGACAAGTGGGGAACAGAGGACAACGGACCTGTAGGAGAATTCCTAGGAATCAAAATCACTCGAGAGAGGAGACAAGGCAGGATCACACTCGACTTAAGCGCATACATTAAAGGCATGGTAAGTAAGTGGCTAGAGAGAACAAGTGAACGAACTTGGATACCGATGCAGAGTGTAGCAGGAGTCGCTGGAGGAAACAAGTGCAACCCAGATCAGGCCAAACGATACCAAGAGTTAGTGGGGCAACTTTTGTGGGTATCCAACACAGTGAGGCCAGACATTTCGTTCGCAGTAGGCGCTTTGGCACGATACATGTCAGAACCGATCGACAGTGCTTGGAGTGCTGCGATACACTTGTTAAAGTATCTGAATCAGACCAGCGAATACCGCTTAAGTTTAGGGGGAGCACACAGGAGTCACGCGGACCAACCGGTGGTTACGTATACCGACGCAAATTGGGCTTCTGACCCTACAAATGGGCGTAGGAGTACGTCCGGAGCGATCACATATGTGTATGGATGTCCGGTTAGTTGGAAATCACATGTGCAGAAGTGCGTGGCATTATCGGCAGTGGAAGCAGAACTGGTCGCAGCCTCCGAAGCAGCAAGAGAAGCACTCTTCTTCTCACATTTGCTCAGGGATCTAGGAGTATCCGGAGTTAAGCCAATACTGCGCACCAATAGCCAAGGGTGCATACAGGTCAGTAAAGATCCGGCCAAACACTGGAAGCTCAAACACATCGATACCAGATATTACTTTGTTAGGGATCATGTGCAAGATGGTGACATATCAATCGAGTTCGTCGGAACGGCCAACAATGTCGCTGACATACTCACGAAACCTCTCAAGGGACTCCACACGACAAGGATATCAAGAATGATAGGATTGGACATGCCGTTGAGGGGGGGAGTTGAAGATGCACCGGCATCGCCAACGCGTGATGCATTAAATGGGAGTTCACAGGATCGGGAAATCGGGAAGGTATCAGGCGATGAAGAGGACGAGCAGAATGCGAAGCTAGTGGGAGCTAATGCAGCGTATGCACGAGGATTAACGCCATGGTATGCAGGGGATGTGTTGACATGACAACACTCATAAAAGAAGATACGTGGCACATGGGCATGACTCGACATAGAGAGCACAGTCAGGTGGTTAGAACATGTATATATGCCCTTAGCTCAGTCGTTACCTCTTTATGACAATACAAGCCTTTTTACATAGAACATCAGATAAAGGAGTGCCTGACCGTGGTCTCCTAGTGGTGTATCTAAATTCAACTTCACCATACGGCAATCGCATTCAAGCCACACAGGACGGCATAGAGGAACGAAGAAACAATACAAAGAATGTGAGAGACTAACAACAATAGATGGTAGGAGTGAGATGCAACGTCGACTCGCAGGTGGTCTTCGGCTACGAGCGAGCGGCAACGTCGTGTCGTTTAACCGGAATCAGCCGAGTATGCAAGAAGGTTGACTTGGCTTAGGCCTTGTTCTGAGCCCTCAAACTCCTCCTCTTCAGAACAGAAGCATTCAACTTATCCAACATCTCCACCGTAGTCTCCCAACCCACGCAACCATCTGTAATGCTAACACCGTACTTCAACTGATCAATCTGACCGTTCTTGGGCTCACCCTGTTTACCCTCGTTCAAGTGACTCTCGATCATTACACCCGTGATCGCATCCTCTCCCTGCTCGAGCTGCTCTGCGATAGCATCAACGACCTTGGGCTGGTTGCGGAAGTCTTTGTTCGAATTACCGTGGGAACAATCGATCATGATGGAAGGGTGACGGTCTGGGAGAGCTTTTTGAAGTCGAGCTTTGGAAGATTTGACCGACTCGGAATCGAAGTTGGTTCCATTTGAGCCGCCGCGGTGGACAATGTGGAGATCGGCATTACCGACAGTACGGACGATGGCAGCGAGACCTTGTTCGGTCACACCCATGAAAGCGTGAGGTTGGGAAGAGGCACGGATGGCGTCGACGGCAACACCAAGACCTCCGTCAGTGCCGTTCTTGAAACCGATGGGCATGGAGAGACCGGAGACTAATTCTCGGTGCAATTGCGATTCAGTGGTACGAGCACCAATGGCTCCCCAAGAGTAGAGGTCGGAAGTGTACTGGGGAGAGATGGTGTCAAGAACCTCGCATGCCACGGGGACACCTTGGGCGGTCAAGTCGACGAGCAGGTTACGTGCGATTTTGAGACCTCGGTTGATTTGGAAGCTGCCATTGATGTCGGGGTCGTTGATCAAACCCTTCCAGCCAACAGTAGTACGTGGCTTTTCGAAGTAGGCGCGCATGATGACGACAAGGCCTTCAGACCAGCGCTCGTCAATACCAGCCTTGAGCAGCTTAGCGTATTCTTTAGCCTGGTCCACATCGTGGATGGAGCAAGGACCGACGACGACAAGAAGACGGTCGTCCTGGCCGTTGATGATAGCGCTGGACTGACCACGTGCGCGAGCGATGGTGGTTTGTGATTCCTTAGGGACGGGAATCTCGTGAAGGAGGAGCGAGGGAGAGATCAAGGGCTCAAAGCCAGCAACGCGAACATCGTTGACGTAGGCGTATTCGTCTTTAGTGCCGCTTTTGAGGATAGCCTGCGAGAGAGGCTCGGCGGATCGTCCGTTGGCGGTGTTGTTTGCAATGCTCGACGACATGGTTGTGTTGCTGAGCAAAGCGTGTGGATGGAAAAGAGGTTGTATCAGCCAAGCCAAGTGTGCGAGTCGATGGATGCTGGACCGAAAGTATTGGGGGAAATGACGATGGCGGTGGTTGAGGCGGAAGGAGTGTGAAGAAGCGACAGTATCCAAAGTGCTACTTGGCGAGATGAAACACGGCACGGTCAGTGGGAACAAAAAAGTGCGCAGATGATTTTTGAGCGCACAGCCGCTTCTTTTTGATCTTCCAATCTCGCTTCTTCAATCACACAGATGCGCTTGGATTCGCTACTGCTGCATTCTCACATGCCGGATGCCAAACTGCCCTTGATCTGAATGGGTGTGTTTGTTCGGCTGCGTTCTGTTTCGAAAAGCGAGGAAGATCAGGTGGCGGCAAACAGCCCCCAAAATTTAGGATCTTCTTCCTGCTCGGAAGAATTAGTCTGACTCGAAAAATTTCAGAATTCGCGCTGCAGCAAAACGTGCATTTTCGCATCAATTTCTTCTCAAAACTGCGCTCTTTGTCACAGCAACACCAAATCCCACAATCTAATCTCTACCTCAAGCTAGTTGCACCGTGCAACGTGTTTCGTCTCGTTGAATAGTCTTCACCGCTTCCTTTTTCTCGATTGCTTACGCTTTCACTCGCATAGCCCAGCAACGAAAGCTTGTTTGGTGTCGACTTGCAATGATACACTGAAATCGGTGGCATGAGACCTCGCTCTTCCGACATGGTGATAGCGGCACCTTTTTTTCTTCTTTTTTTTCTTTTCTTTTTTTTTCTTTTCTTTTTTTTTTCTTTTTTCTTTTCTTTTTTCTTTTCTTTTTTCTTTTCTTTTTTCTTTTCTTTTTTCTTTTCTTTTTTCTTTTCTTTTTTTTTTCTTTTTTGAACCCTCTTTTGGCGAGACAAATAATGAATTTTCCGAGGCAACTCTCATCGCCGATATCCTCTACTCACAATGGAAATCGGTGATAAGTCGGAAGTCGGAAACACACTTCTTTCTCAAGCCTAAGGCAGCTTCAATTTTCTCGCTCTCCCCACCCATCATAACCTCCTGTCTTGCCCTCACGACCATTAACAAACATAAACACACCAAAATGTTGCCAACAGCGATATCCAGCTCCCGCTCTGCGTGGAAAGGTATGTCTCTCTTCCTCCATTCCTAACTTTCGCTCGATGAAAGTCATACGCTAACCCATCCCCATCCGTTCGTTGATGTAGGACCATTCTTCGTTGCGTTCCCAAACCTTGCCGAAGCGCTCAAAAACAACACCGCTATTCGAACAAACGCTCGCAGCTGCACCATCTTGCCCAACTTTGTCGGTTTGAAGTTCCAAGTTCACAACGGCAAACACCATATCCCTTTGACAGTGACGGAAGAGATGATTGGACACAAGTTGGGAGAGTTTGCTCCTACTAGGAAACCTTTCCGTTACCGATTGACGAAGAACAAGTAATCGGATCTTCAAACACGTTTTCAACATCAGAAGAAGCGAAGGGGGAGGACTTTTCTCGACACTCAACCGTTTGTACTTGTATCTCGACCTCTTTGCATCAGCCTATCAAGCCAGATTTGCGCTTCAGACATGGACGGAAGGGTGATTCTAGCAACGTAACAGCGATTGTATGAGAAGAAGCATATTACCGGGTGACACAGGGAAAAGTAGACGATAGTAGTCTGGCTCGAGCGAGGGCAGCTCAGGCGATACCAGGCGGGGGTGCAAACCCAGTATCAGGCGCCTGCAACAGCGGCGAACCCTGAACATCCGCCGTCTCAAGATACACCTGGTTGCCCCACCACTGCAGCTCCAATGCTCCATTCTTTGGCATCTGGAGCAAGAAGTAGATTGCGATTGACTGTCCAAGAACACCGCATCTCATTTGAGTATCAGCCGACCATCTCTCTTCGCATCACTTCGAAAGGAGGAAAGGAGGTTTGCGTACTTACCGACATTACCGACCCAAAATCAAGCGCACCAGCAAACACGAAATTATACCTCGACCACCACTCCAACCTATGTTTTCTGAGCCAGTACTGAAAGAAGTACCCCACGACAATCGCCGATGTAAAGTTGATCCCAGAAGCAGGTGGGGCTAAACTCATACCTACAAAGATGATCGGTGCGGAGATGTATCGCATTGTCGACCAATTGAGCTTTCTTGATGTATACCACGTGATCAACGGCAGAACTGCGCCTACTATCAAGCCGTAGAAGAGTGAATTATAGGGTGAGCCCGGACCAAAACTTCTCTCCACTCCAATGGCGCCCCAGATGATCGAAGCGGTGTAAAAGATGTTGACTGTTGGACAGGTGAAGCGCTGAGGTTGGTTCGGGTCGCAGAGTCCCTCGATATGGTCTCGAAGGTAGTCTTTCGCCAGGATTTGCACGATACTGTTGACTGTAATTGAAAGGATTTGGACGAAAAAGATGTTGCGAGGGGCGATCTTCACGTAGTGTGCAAGCTTCTGGTCTTGGGAGAACAGAAGGCCAAAGGTGGTGGTTTGCTGGCTGATCGTCTTGAACATCATTACCGGTAAGGGTTTTCCGGGGAGAAGCCAAGATGCGAGGAGTTCAGAGACGAGATTCACTCCAGCTGGAAGGCCGCTCATGGCAAAGATGAAGCCAAAGGGAAGCATGTATGCTACTGGAATCAGGATTGCTAGACACAACGCCCAGATCGGTAGACCGGTGCCGTAGGCAGTTGTAAGAAGCATCGACATGCCAAGACCGCTAATGAGTACAGCGACGTACCACCATGAGGGAACGCTCGGATACTTGCGCATCAGCCGAGCGTGCACATCGTCAGGCATCGTCCGCCTCGCTCGCAACCGGTCCAGGACAAATCTGCCGTGGTATAGTGCCGTGTGTACTACCGCAGCCGTGATCAGAGCGAAACCGCCAAAGTAAGCCACCACGAGCCCGGCGGATATGTACACTCGCGAATAGTCTGCGTATGCGTCAGCGCGCAACGTGATGTGGTCCGGAGAGACAATGCTGACGTTGTACCGCTGACCGAATCGGTCAAAGCTACTGCCTGACAGAATGGGCAGATAAGCTGTATAGAGCATGTTGGTGAAGTACAAGATGGGCGCAGCAATCCAAATACCAACCACAAATCCACCGAAGAGGTTCGTCTGTGCCCACCAAGGTGTGATCAGCGGCGACCCTAGGTAGACGATCTGAGTCCAGTCAAATGTGAGCACGCTCGCGCCGAGCCCGTTGGCAGCGCCAAACACGACATTGACGGGAACGCTGTTCGGCCAAATCCAGCAGATCCAGTTGAAAATCGACAGTGCGGTGAACAGGTAGCCTGGCAGGAAGTAGGCGACAAAGGCGACGGCTGAGGCAATGTTGAAGCAGCGGAGCCTCGACATGCGGCTTGATCTTCTTTCGGACAGCGAATCTTCGTCGGCGTGAAGCGTGTTGAGTACTGTAGACACAGCCAGATTCTGCGGCCAGATCATTGAAGCTGGATCAACGAGTACAGCTCTAACAAATCCTGCTAGTCCTAGTCCAATGAGCTGCGGAGCGCAAACCGACAAGAAGCCATATAAAAAAGAGCGTCGGTCGTCCCAGAATCGCGCGAGATCTTGAGCCAAGAGGATGGAAAGCGAGTACGAAGGGTTGAGTCCAGTGGTAGCGGCAACGAGCACCACTGTATGCTCCTTGATGTTCCACGGACCAGGGTTGAACGACCAAGCATGCGACCTGCTTGCGCGCTTTGCGCTGTTGACTTTACGAAGGCTTGGTGGACGAAAGTAGAAGGAGCGAATCGGTAAGATGTTGGCTAGAATCATGCCTAGCGGATGAGCCAGGATCTGAATGATGATGGCGACGATCTGGATGGGCGGATTGCGTTGCGAAAGGAAAGTGTTGACGGCAGATGCGAACGCAGACAGTCCAAGACCCAGCAACACTGAACGGAAAGTGATGGAAGGCATCGTCGAATCGTCAAGATTGGAGACTGAAGCCCGCACTTCCGGATACGGCGAGTCGTCATCCTCTTCTAGCTCGAGCTCTACCGTTCTTGACATGGATGGTCGAGGCAACTGACGCAACAAATCAGCACTGTCACAGGTAGGGGCGACGTTGCCCGGCTGACCGCCCCAAGATGCAGCTCCGTGGGAAGAGCTTGTGAGGGAATACGGACCATCGCTTTCTCGGCCTGCGGAATTGCATCGTCGCTGCCAATTGCTGCTCTCGTCTCTAGTGGGAGGATGCCACTTGATCGAGGTAGTACGTCGAACACCTTGTGGAACCTTCTCTGCGATACCACCACTGTGTTGCTGATCGTCTCTCTTTGACTCGGCATGCAGGTCGAGCTTTACCGGGTCTTCGATTTGCACAAGATTGCCTTGTGTATCGTAGACAGCACCGCTCTCCTGATCAAGGTAATAGATACTTTCGCGAGGTATGTTGCTTCTCTGTCCGCTTCGAAGCGGACCTCCTGAAGTCAAAGCTGTTGGTGGACGCGCAGGAAGGCTTGAAGGAGCTGCTACAACTTGCACCCCTGGCACCTCCAGGCCGGCTGCAAAGGCGAGAATGAAGTAGCTCGTTAGTGAGATTATCTGGCAGAAACATGAGCCATTGCATTGTTTGACGGTACTCACGAGGTGCAAATGCAAAAACGTCGTCATCCTCCGCTTGGTGCTGGCCTACTTTGTCGTCATCATCTTCCATGTCGGTGTACTCTATTGAGTCGTAAGAATCTTCTTGTTCACCATGAGATCCTTGTTCGTGCTCGATACCGAATCCACCTGTTGTCGCGGGGCGTGTAGAGCTATTTAGCTGGCCAGCAGAGGTCGTTGGTCTTAGCTGTGCTGTTTTTGGTCGCGACATGATGGTGGCTCATCCGTCGTTCCGGCTTCGAGAGAGAGACAAGGCGAGGGAAGGGAAGCAAGGTGAGGGTGTACCAGACTTCGAGGATCCCGCCGCTTCTTCGAATTCATCCGAAGGCCGCCCTACTCTCTTTGTCGGTAGCTTTCGCGCTTTGCACCACAGCACTTTCGTGCCTTCATATCTCGGTGTCTAAAATGCACCAACTCAAGTTCGCAACTGCACCAGATCAATCTCGTCATTGTACCATTTCATTTTCCCTTTCCGAGTCAATTTTTTGCCTGTGCTTTGTGACCACCATCATCATGCCTCGTGCCAAGTCCAAGACGCTCTCTCTAGAGACTAGAAACAAGCTCCTCCATGCTGTCAATGAGGAGAAGCTGACTGTTGCTGTGGCTGCAAGACGTCTCATGGTACCATACACAACTACAAGAAGCTTTCTCCAACACTATCAACACACTGGTCAGGTTGAGCCAAAGAAGATGGGTGGCAAACGGGCTCCTGCCTTGAATGACGAGCATCTTTGCCAACCTGCGGGCGCTGGCTTGAATCTTGTTTTGATTGCAAGAAATGCAAAATGCAATGGTACAATGACGAGATTGATCTGGTGCAGTTGCGAACTTGAGTTGGTGCATTTTAGACACCGAGATATGAAGGCACGAAAGTGCTGTGGTGCAAAGCGCGAAAGCTACCGACAAAGAGAGTACGAAGAGGACACAGGTCTCGGTGGAACCCAGCATAATTTGTCCGTGGCAAAATGAAGTGTGGGTCTGAAGTCGGTTTGTTGTGCTCGTCAGAGACAAAGCTGTAAGCCACTCCGAGCGGCGTAATCTGGCTGATTGTATCGGGAAAAGCGCGGTCAGAGCCTCATAGCGAGGAAATTGGATGGAGTCCTGGAAACTTCAAGTGTATGTTGTGAGCGAAGAGATCTTTCTATCGAGCTGTATTCGCTCACAAGCTGCTGGGACCTTAGCTTCGGAAAGAGAGCAGATCCTGCGCCTTGTGGATGGAAGGCGTTATGTGGGTGCGAATGAAGTTTGTAGCGTGTGATTGGACGTCAAGGCACGGGTTCCGCGATGTGAGGCGATGCCATCTGAGGTTTTCTGTTCCCCCACATCGCCTTCATCACATTCATAGCAAGAGTTCGTGCTTCACTTTCCGAGGGACATCTTCCCCCGGCTTGTGTCCCTTATCGTTGTGACTTGAATAGAAGCCATTGTAGCTGACTCGAGGTGAGTCGTGGAGCACATCAGCCAGGCTTGCTAAGACATCACCTTTGAACGATGCGACAGGGGCAGTTGGTGTCACGCCTACTCTCTCGTGCGAATACTAGCCGCACGAGAATGCTCGATCGATTTCCTCTTGTGCAAATACATGTCACACAGGAAAGTTCAATACTATCTTGCAAATCTTTGCTCATACTTCCTTGCTTGTATGGAAGCTAGTACTTAAACTGGCCTCCATCTAGATCTCCTTCTTCCTGCAATCCATCTAGTTACTGTTGAAATGTGAAGAAGTAAAGTCCCGATAACTGGTGATTGGGGAGAGTCTGAGCACGATGTCACTGCTGTTTTGGAACAGAAATGTGTATACTCAATTGACTGAAGGAATGTGGCAAGAGCCTAGTGCTCTCAGCTTGATATACAGTACATGCATAAACTGTCCCAAGATTCTACATGTCACCATACATCACTCTAATGCTCAATAGCTATAAGTTGTATTGCCACACTGTCTGATATCATCTGAAAGCCCTGCTTCTTCTCTCCAAGACTGTGTAAATGATATTGACATTGACTGAGAAAATTGTGCTTTGAAGAAGAGCTGAGAATTTTTTTATTGTGGGACAGTTTATGGAGCATGCCCCCAAATAGCAACACTGCTCCATTCCTGACCTTGTGGGCTTTTGACTACAATGAAACTTGCAATGTAACTTGGTGGGCACCTTCATACACATCGAAAGTAGTGATGTGGAAAGTTTCAGCTCAATCAGATGACTGTGAGTGATCTGGTGGTGCTTTGAGTCTGACACCATCATATCTATACCATCATGCTGAAAACCACCCCAGAGAAGTGCTGATCAGCAATCTTTCACCTCCAAAATGGGGAATCTACCCATTCAGTTGCCAAGCAACTCAGTTTGAGCAAGTCTACTGTGAATCACATCAGCAAAAGTGCCTCTGCTGATGTTCCAAAGTCAAAGGGGGGCTGGCCAAGAAAACTCCAGCCTCATCATGTTCACTTCCTGGACCACTATTTCAAGCTCAATTCCACCTCCACAGTCAGGAAAGCATGCCATGCACTGCAGGAGACATTTCAAGTCAAAGCTTGCCCAACCATAGTAAGAAAAGCACTTCATTATTGTCATTACAAAGCATGGAGGTTAGTGAAAAAACTGAAGCTACTCAAGAGACATTACAAAGCCTGTCACAAATTTGCTAATGAGCACAAGGACATGACTGTTGAGAATTGGAAGAAGGTGGTATGGTCTGACAAGACAAAGATCAACTTCTTTGGACCAGATGGTAAGCAGTTCTGTTGGATTAAGAATGCCAGCTTCAACAGCAAGCTTGTCAGGCTGATGGTCAAGTCCGGCAGTGGCTCAATCATGATCTGGGGCTTTATGACATGGGAAGGGGTGGGAGGCATGCACTTGGTGCTGTGTACAATGAATTCAGACCAATACATTGATATCTTGAATGACAAGCTTGTGAAAACAATCTCAGATTTGTGGCTTCAGCATGCATATACCAACATCACTTTTCAGCAAGACAATGACCCAAAACACATGTTGAAGAAGACAACAACATGGTTGGAAAGCAATAGTATTAAGGTTATGCAATGGCCAGTGCAGTTGCCAGACTTAAACCCAATTGAACACCTCTGGCACCATCTCAAAATGTGACTTTCATGGTATAGTACAATTGCAAAGTCCAGGGATGAACTGCTCAAGAGATGTGAAGCTGAATGGACAGTGATCACTCCAGAGACATGTAGGACCCTAATAGAGAGTATTCCAGACCACATCAAGATGGTTCTGAAGGCCAAAGGAGGGAATACAAAGTACTAAGGTGTTCTTGAGGAGCACTCCATAAACTGTCCCACAATAAAAAAAAATTTCAGCTCTTCTTCATAGCACAATTTTTTTAGTCAATGTCAATATCAATTCCACAGTCTTGGAGAGAAGAAGCAGCACTTTCAGACAATATCAGACAGTGTGGCAATACAACTTATAGCTATTGAGCATTAGAGTGATGTATGGTGACATGTAGAATCTTGGGACAGTTTACATGCATACTGTATATACACTAGCATGGCAACTGCCAAAGGTGGGAGTATCCTACTTAATGATCTATCATGGCAATGAGCGGGACTGTGTTGCACCCGATCTCTGGTGAGATCGGCTCGGCTCGATCTCTGATCAGATCGGTCATCTAACCGGATCGGCTCTGCTTGATCTCCGATCAGATGGCCCCGCGTCATCCTTTGGCGTCGCACTGGATCGTAATCTCCAGCAGTAACACCATTACACCGTGCATACAGCTTGCGCACGTAATTGATAGAAACTGAAGTCGTTTCGGTCCCGATACTAGCGATTGGGGATAGTCTAAGTACAATGTCACTACTCTGTTAAGGCAGAAACATATACTCAATTGACTGAAGAAAAAGGAGTGTGGCAGGAGCCTCAAGCTCCCTGGGAGATATATATACAAACTGGGTGGTATATGCCAGGCATGGGTACATCCTACTTAATGATGAGGTCTGACAATGAGTGGGTGTAGGTTGTACCTGATCTTCAATCTCTGATCAGATCATCCCTCACCCAATCCATCTTGTAACTGCTTATGTCACCCTGTATCATTTCACTGGATCATTCCTTTCAGTACCCCTCCTCAATCCAACATGTGTGTCTGATGCCAAAAGCCCTAACATTTGATGAAGGTGTGTGAGCATCAGTGCCACAAGTGGCTTAGTGAGAAGGTTGGCCAAGTTCTCACTACTTTGGACCAGAGCAATTGTAAGTCATTGGCTTGTGATCTCGTCTTGTAAAAAGAAGTGAGCAATGTCAATATGTTTTGTCCTCTTGAAGTGTTGTGGGTTGCTTGTGATCACATGGGCTCCAGAGGAATCACTGTACAGGATTGGCACATTCCAGTCATAGAGAAGTTCGCTGTCACAGGAATGAAGGGTAGAAGTCCCAGTGCTTATGTGTATCCCGGCTGTCTTTATGATGGGCTGTTATTTGCCACAAACCTAGTGTCAGCGGTCGCACGCCCAAAACCTGATATCTGTAATAGAAACGCGTCTATTACGAATCCTGTCGAGATACGTGACAACGCTTGAAGTTGTCATGGGCCTGGATGCGCAAGAAGTAAGAAGATCCGTCAACTCATATGAAGGGAGCGCAGGAATCAAGTTATCGGGCAGATCGTGGGATTTGCAGCAGAGTTCTGTCACAGGGTCAGCAGATCAGCATATGAAGTGTGTGCCAAATTGATCTACAGCAATCATCAGGAATTGACGATCTAATTGGGTTGGTAGTGCATATGGCTTGCAAGATCAACCAAGTTCTGGGATCCTGATTAATCTCACAAGGATTGATTGGAATCAGCCTGATTGGCATGTCTCAGCAAGTTGGCCATCACGAGCAAGCATCAGGAGATTCAGGAAGGAGGATACCAGCAATAGAAGGAGAAGCATATGGAGATAACCACATGCAGGAGTGGGGACCAAGCTCAGCATCATGCAGATGGTTACCACTCAAGGGGTATGTGCATACAGCCACATAGGACCAAGCACAGGGGCAACCACATGATCAAGGGGCTTGGCAACAGGGCCTGACATGTGGTTAAGGGATTCACAAGATAAGGTTGAGAAGATGGTTGCCAGTGAAGAGAGAAGGAGCTGTGTCAAGAAGACCAGGGATTGTCTATGAGGAGGAGGAGCTGTGTTGCAGGGGTCATTACACATCACCAGGCAAAGAAGAGCATGGAGGCAAAGGGGCAGTATCACACAAACCAATACATGGTGTGAGCAGTAGAGGCGCAGCATCAAAGGGAGTGACACCAGCAGGAGAGAGAGTGTCAAGAGGAGGTGAAGGCCTCTCAGGAGGAGTAGGAAAGGTGTTGCAGGTGACACCAAGTGAATGCATAAATACTCTCATTCTACTATAGCATACAAGTGGATCCTCATCCACTCTACTCTATACTTTACATACTCTTTACTTGACTCATAGTTACATATCATTGCAATAGCAGAGCTTTGCAATGACACCTCATATGTGTGTGTTGTATCACTGTTAGGCATCAACTGTAGGCAGTGTTCCTCAACACCTGTGGTCCAGTCCCTTACTGTAGGCAGTGTTTTCTTGACATCTGCAGTCCAGTCAGTTATTGTAGGCAGTGTCCAACACCTGCAGTCCAGTAACTCCTGTCCTCTGTAGGCAATAAGCATATCACAGTCCAGACAACAATTAGAGAGCATTAGCAACAGTACTATGAACACTCATACTGTAAGGAGAGTATACTACTCTCCCTCCAAAGAATAAACAGATGTGCCATGCAACCTCTGAACAGAGTGTTCAAGGCAGTCAGCCGAGACCTACCAGTACAAAGCCATCTGGTTACATTTAGTCAGAACATCCTGAGTAGATCTTACTTGATTGTCCTCACCGATACCAATCGGAAACACCCAATCTGGTTTCAGGCGCGCGACCGCTTACAAGTTCATTGAGATCTGTAGTAGAAACGGTGCTAAGACAGATCCCACCAAGATTGGCATGAGCAAGGATGGTATCACGAATTCTGCTGAGATCAGTAGTAGAAGGGATCATATAGCAGATTCTGTGGAGATCAGTGGCAAAGATGATTGTATGACAGACTCACATGCAAGGAGGACCAAGCTCTGCCAAGACAGGGACCAAGCTCAGAAGCATGCAGCTGGTTACCACTCAGGGGTTCACAAGACAGGAATCAGGAGAACAGTCACTGGTTAGGAGGAAGGAGAGCTGTGTCAATGACACCAGCATATAGGTCATGAGGAGGAAGAGCTGTGTCAAAGAGGTTGGCACACAGCTCAGGAAGGACAGGAGCGATGTTACAAGGACTCCTGTACAGTACTCGACAAAGAAGGTACTCTCTGGAGAGAGAGCCAGAGCAGTGTCGCAGGTGACACTGCAAAGAGGTATATAATCATACCTTCTCGTCATAGGTGGATGAGTGGATCTCCATCCACTCTACACCATACATTACTAGTTATAGCTTACACATAAGTATACATTAGTATCCAGTCAGCAAGTTGCAATCTCAATAGATTGCATCCATTTTAGCACATGTGTTGCATCACTGCTCACTGATGTCCAAAGGTGGTTCAAAGAAACCTGCAGTCTGGATAATGATAGAACTGAAGGCAGTCATCCACTGTGGTCCAGGGATCACTTCAAGCATACAGTCAACACACTGGACACTCATGTTGGCACCACCAATTATATCTCTCATACCAGACCTTGGTGTCAGTACCAATTCATATCAGTTATTGATTGTGCTGAGCTACCTCTGGATGGATTGTCCACAGCGGTCAGTCGAAACCTGCAATAGCAAGACCATTACTGCATTTCCAGGCAAGTAAAGTGATAGAGATGACTCTACTACATATTTCACCAAGAACCATAATACCACAAGTGCTGTTGCATAACTCGACAGGATTCGTAATAGACGCGACTCTATTACAGATATCAGGTTTTGGGCATGCGACCTCTGACAGAAGTATTATGATTCTTGTCGAGATATGTAGTAGAGATGTCTCTATCACTTTTCTCGCTCGAAGATGTAGTAGTGGTTTTGCTATTGCAGGTTTTGACTAACCACTGTGGACACTCAGTCCAGAGGTAGCTCAGCACGATCAATAACTGTTATGAACTGGTACTAACACCAAGGTTTGGTGTGATTGAGATGGTTGATGTTGCCAACACAAGTGTCCAGTGTGTCGACTGAACGCTCCTTCATATGACTTCAACTTCTTCCTGCCTCCTGCGCATCCGGCTCCTATGACACCTAGCACATCGTCCGACTGCAAATGCAATGTCCGGCCTACTTCCCTGTGCGACCCATAACAACAATCCCACAATTGATGCATAGTGTCGTACCTCCTCAGTGCTTGCAGTGTCTCCTGTCAGGGGTCTCGCGCCTGAAACCCAGGTTGGTCTGTCGAGATACTCGGTGACTATCAAACTGTGCGACAGCTATTGTCTCGGTATCGGTGACTATCAAGTTGTGCAGTGACAGCAGGTGGTGTTCGTTGTATATACTATCGTAGGTTTCGGCTGACCTCTGTGGACACTCCGTTCAGGGGTAGCTCAGCACGATCAATATCAATGTTATGATGACACCAAGGTCTGGTGTGAGTGTTGATGATGATGAGGTTGATGGTGTTGGTGATGAGATTGGTGATGTCAATGATAATGAGGTTGATGGTGTTGGTGATAAGGTTGGTGGCATCAACACGAGTGTCCAGTGTGTTGACTTGATGCTTGAAGTGATCCCCAGACCGCAGTGGACTACTGCCTTCGGTTCTATCTTGATCCGGACTGCTAACCTGCTATGGGTGCCTTCGGACGTCAGGTAGTGGTGATACAACACACACACTATGATGAGGAGCAACCTTGATAGATTGCTGCTATGCTGACTGAAACTAATGTATACTTATGCTGAAGTGATAACTAGTTATATGGTGAGTAGAGTGGATGAGGATCCACTCGACCTATGATGATGAGAAAGCATGGTTATATACCTCTTCTCAGCATCGCCAGTGATGCTGCTCCTGCTCTCTCTCCAGAGAGTACCTTCTTCATCGAGTACTGCTCAGGGGCCTCTCCTGCTTGGCACCCCTGTGCCTCTTGAGCTGTGTCGACTCCTTTGACACTGCTCCTCCTCCTCATGACCTGGTGTCAACTCCTTCGACACTGCTCCTCCTCCTCATGACCTGTGACAGTTCCTTTGGCTCTTGTCTCTCGAGCCCCTGAGTGGTAACCATCTGAGCTTGGTCCTCTTCGTGGCTGTGCCTGCTCCTTGAGCTTGGTCCTCTTCATGGCTGTGCCTGCTCCTTGAGCTTGGTCCTCCTCGTGGCTGTGCTTGGCCCTTCTTTGCATGTGAGTCCGTAGGAGTCCATGGTCTCCATGGAGACTGCACTACAACCATGCTCTCTACTGATCTCGACTAGATCTTCGATACCTGTGCTCCTTCCATATGAACCCGTGACCCTCCTGCTTCTTGAGCATCCAGGCCCATGTCACCCGTGACCCTCCTGCTTCTTGAGCATCCAGGCCCATGACATCTCCTTCTTGTGGTTTGAGGGTGTTGATGGCTTCGGTCACTGGGGTCGATGCCACCCAGGCTTGATCCATTCCATATTTCATTAGTATGCCTTCGATGTATCCCTTTTGGTCTATTGAGAGTGTTCTAGCTTCATGGTTGTATCATATGTTTAGGCCAATGATATGCATCACCTCACCCTGGTCTGTGTTGCTGAAAACACTTGAGAGTTGCTGTTGAACTGATTGAACTTGCATGGCAGTTGCACCAATGATGAGCAGGTCATCGACATATACTGCAAGGAACACCATCGCATTGCTGGAACCATGTGCATATATGCATGGCTCAGCTTGACACCTCTTGAAGCCAAAAGCCTGGAGCTGTTCATCAAGTGCAGCATGGCACAGGTGTCCAGCTTGCTTGAGACCATACAGTGCTTTCTTTAGCCTGTAGCATTTTCCTTCTGTTTCCTTTGTCTCAAACATTGGTGGGATTCAGATGTGTACATCCTTGTTGATCTTCCCATTTAAGAATGCAGTGCTAACATCAAGCCATGCGACATGTAGGCCATATCATTGGGTGAGAGCAAGCAGCATTCTGATGATTTGCAGTCATATGACTGGACTGAATGTCTGGTCGTAATCTAGGCCCAGACATTGGGCATATCCTTGTGCAACTAGGCAAGCTTTGTACCTTGTGGCTTGATGTTGAGTGTCGAGCTTGAGCTTATAAACCCATCAAATGCCAATGAGCTTGCCATCTGTTGGGATGTTGGCGAGCTCAAAGATGTTCATTTTGTCCATGCTCACCATTTTGCTAGCCATTGCCTCCTTCCACTTGTGCCAGTCATCATGCATTTTTGCTTTGTTGAGTGACAAGGGCTCCAATAGGATTCTGTCAGCACTGTGCATTTGCTGACCACTCACAACAAGTGCCACTCCATTCATTACCATGACAGCAAAGGCCATGCAATCAAGGTGGTGATTGCTGATTGTTGGTGTTTGAGTGCTTGAGCACTTCACAGCAAAGGCCATGTATCTGAGAGGGTCCAAGCTGTCTGACAAGCCCATACAATTGATCTCGAGGACTGAGACATTGTCATATATGTCCATTGTTGCATTGCTCTGAGGTGTTTCGAGTGTTGGTAGGTCAGTGTGGACTGGGTTCTGTGCATTGTTCCCCTCATTGGATGGGGTCGTGTCCAGTTTGGCTCGCAAATCAGTGGCAATTGTGTCAAGGTCCATGACCACCTCACCAGCATCCTCAATTTCGGCCATCATTTGATCCCACTTGCAATCATAGCTTGAGATATTGGATGTATCCAAACATGAGTTGGTGTTGCACTGGCAAGAGTATGGTATCAAGGAGGGTGGCCCAATGTCATTGGCATCAGGTTCCTCATTTACATCGCCCAGGGGTAGCCAAGTGTATGACTGAAGCAGCTGACTGTTTCTGGCAATCACAGGCTCTTGAGGAGGAAAAGCAGCAGTTCCTGATTGCTCAAGCTTGGAGAACTGCATATCCTTGGCAACAACAATGTGATTGAGTTTGGGGAGTCATACCTTGTGGCCCTTGATGGCGCACAGCACATCGGAGAAGCCGAGGTAGATCCCTCGGAGGGCATGGGTGTCATAGGAGCCGGATGCGCAGGAGGCAGGAAGAAATTGAAGTCATATGAAGGAGCACAGAAATCGCAGGATCAGGCTAAATGAGAGCTTAAGGAAGAGTTTGCTGAGATCAGTAGTAGAAACAATCCTATGGCATAACTCATCAGGATCTGTAGGAACAAGGTCATTACTACAGAGTTCAGTGGGAATTGTAATATCATGCTGGGTACAACAGACCTCATGGGAATTGGTCTGAGAGGCACCCCATTGCCAATACAACTAGGGGAGGATACTGTACAAGGGGAGGACACCACTGGATGAAGCAGGGGCCTGGCACGATGATGAAGTCAGTGCCAACAGGTGGGCACTGATGACAAGAGGGCAATGAGAGGGGGTGCAAGTTGCCACTCAGATGAAGTGGGACTGGCCCCTAACAGAGATGAGACAGCAAGAGACCTGTCCATCTGCAGGAGGCTAGGGAAGCGGTGCCAATGAGTGGCATCACAAGGATGGATGGGGAGGATAGCAGGGAGGAGGAGGAGGAGCAGTGTTGCAGGCAACACTACAAGAAAGGTATATAACCATGCTCCCTGTCATAGTAGGTGAGTGGATTGGCCATCCACTCTACACCATACACAACTAGTTATCACTTCACACAAGTATACATTAGTTTCAGTCAGTGAAGTTGCAATCAAGTAGATTGCTACCATTGTAGCATGTGTGTTGTATCACTGCTCACTGATGTCCAAAGGCAGTTGATAGCAAACCAGTGGTCCAGATAATGATAGAACTGAAGGCAGTCATCCACTGCAGTCTGGGGATCACCTCAAGCACTCAGTTGACACACTGGACACTCATGTTGGCACCACCAACAATCTCAGTCACACCAGACCTTGGTGTAGTCACAATACATCTATCTTTATTGATTGTGCCAAGCTACCTCTGGATGGAGTGTCTGCAGCAGTTAGTCGAAACCTGCAATAGCAAAACCACTACTACATCTTCAGACAAGAAAAGTAATAGAGACATCTCTACCACATATCTCAACAAGAATCATAATACACAAGACATTACCACATATCTCGATGGGATTCGTAATAGACGTGTTCCTGTCACAGATATCAGGTTTTAGGCGCATGACCTCTGACAACGGGGACGAAGATGCTTGCTGACGATAGGGTGGCTTCGTAACCATGTTGTTCTTGTGCTGCCCTTGAGAATGACATAGGTGATGCATCCAAAACATTGCACATTATGTGGATTGGGTTGCTTGCTGTAATATAGTTTGAAAGGTGTAATGTGACCATGTGTGTTGCTGGCCAATTGATTGTGTATGAAAGCCACCTGTGATGTGGTGTGGGGCCACCAGTGTTCATCCATGTTTGAGTCATACAGCAGACTGTGGGCAATCTTCTGAATGGTCTGGATTGCTCGCTCTGTGAAGGTGTTATCCATGTGTTGCTGGGTTGGAGAAGCAGTGATCTTCACCCCTGTGGATGAGCAGGTGTCTCAGAAGGCAGTGGATCAAAGTTTGCCCTGGTCTACATGAACCTCTTTGAGTCCATGATCAAGGACCACATGTGATGGTTGTCAATGTGTGTTGACATGTACCTCCAAAAGCCACCATATCGCCTCCTGGGAGGACCCCCCTTTGTTTGCCAGGCCATGCACCCATATCATGCCCAAGAAGGCATCATGGATGATGAGGATGTATGCAAACTTTATATTGCCATGTAGTGGTCCCATCACATCCATGGACACCAATTCGAGTGGTTTCTCAACTTGTTGAGGGTGGGTGACATTGTGTTCGATAGCTTTACTATGTACACAGACATCACAAAGGACACCAGAATGTGTAGCAGGACTTGAAGGGATGTCATGAGCATGAGTTACCACACACGTGTGCATGATGGACTCATAGCTAGCATGAGTTACCACACGCGTGTGCATGATGGACTCATAGCTAGCATGACCTAACCTTCGGTGCCAGAGATTGGCTTTGTTGTGAGGTGGTGGAGGATGTCCTGAGCTTGCCATTGTTGCAGCAAATGCAAGGGAGACAGCAGGTTTGGGCATGCTGTCATCCCATATTATCATGGCAACAGCCAGATAACCATCTCCACTGGTAGGGACATGAATCATATGATCATGTTTGTCTTGTACAGTGACAAGCTCATCCTCAAATGTCACTTTGCCTTGAGCATGTGTGACCAACTTCATGCCAATGAGGTTTGTCACAAGGCCAGGTACTAAGAGACAGTCCTGATATGTCATTCACTCCCATTGACACATCTTGGGGCTGTAGCTCAACAGGCTCACCATCCCACGCATCTTGGTGGCAGGAAGTTTTTCACTGTCAGCAGTGGTGATGTGGACCAATTCACCCACACCTTTCCATAACGAAGTGAGTTAACCATGACACATGATGCTCCTGAATCAAACACGAATGGAACAAAATGGGGCAGAAGATCGATTGGTGCCAGCTCAATGTCTGTGAAGAATGCTAGAGCTGGAGCCATATCCTATTCTTCTTTAGGGTTCTCAAGCAGTAACACCATGCACATGTTGGCATGGCCCTTGGGAGGTGTCTTGATCTTGTCATGCTTCCATTGGCCATGGGCAATGTCATCTGGGCAATGGTTAGCTGTGTGGCTGAGCTCTCTGCACACCCAGCAGTTGATGAGCATAGCCACTCACAATGCAACTAGCTCAGTCTCACCAGATGCAGTCAGTATATCAACAGGAGCACTCTTGGCAGCAAGCTCATAGCACTGATGTAGCATGTTGGTGACACTCTTGGCAGTTTGTTCTTTTCCATTAAGCTGTTCATGTAATATAAACACTGAATTGAATAGAGCATTTCTGTCCAAGGGCAAGGTGCACTTGAGAGTCCTGTAACAGTGATCAGGCATCCAGGGGTCTTGAAGATAAGCATGTAGCTCCAATATGTGAGCCTCCCATTTTGTGAGGAAGTTGTATGCATGCTTCCCAACTTGGTCCCAGTGCAAGGCATAGGTCATGGTGAGGAGTTTGTATTCTTTGGCTGTGGAATGTACCATACACTTCTTCATTGCCCAGTTGAATAGGTCAACAGCAATAGGTACAGGTTGGTCACCATGTTCAGCAAAATACTCTGTGCACAGCTTGTTGGAGAAGCTGCACATGATGATCGAGCTGAGCATGAAATCAGTGTCTTCAAACGTCGTCGCTTTCCTGTCGAGTGTCATGGGCCTGGATGCGCAGAAAACAGGAAGATCTGTCAAGTCATATGAAGGGAGTGCGGGAATCGAGGAATTGGGCAGATCGTGGGACTTGCAGTAGAGTTCACTGAGATCTGTAGGAAGAACAGTTCTAGGGCAGATCCTAGCTAGATCAGCACAAGCCATAATGGTATCACAAATCCCACCAGAATCTGCAGTACACAGGATCATAAGACATATTCCACAGAGATCAATGGCAAGGATGATCACACAATAAACAGAGTAGTAGCAAGGATGGCTGGGGTTGCCACCAGATGAAGCAGGGGCCTTACACAGCATTGAAGTTGGTGCCAGCAGGTGGGCACTGATGACAGGGAGTAATGAGAAGGAGCAAGTCACCACCCAGATGAGGTGGGACTGACCCCTGATGGAGAGGAGGCAGTGGGAGGCCCATCCATCCACAAGGGACAAGGAAGCGGTGCCAATGAGGAGCATCGCAAGGTGGATGGGGAGCATAAGAGGGATGAGGAGGAGGAGCAGTGTCACAGGCAATGCTACACAAAAGGTATATAACTATGTCCCTTGCCACAGCAAGTGAGTGGATCACCATCCATTCTACACCATACATAACTAGTTATCACTTTAAGCATAAGTATACATTAGTTTCAGTCAGTGTAGTTGCAATCAAGTAGATTGCTTCCATTGTAGCATGTGTGTTGTATCACTGCTCACTGATGTCTGAAGGCAGTTCATAGCAAACCAGTGGTCCAGATAACAATAGAACTGAAGGCAGTTGTCCACTGCAGTCCAGGGATCACCTCAAGCATTCAGTTGACACACTGGACACTTGTGTTGGCACTACCAGTCCTCTCACTCACACCAGACCTTGGTGTCATCGCAATACATCTATCATTATTGATCGTGCCAAGCTACCTCTGGATGGAGTGTCCACAGTGGTCAGTTGAAACCTGCAATAGCAAAACCACTACTGCATTTTTGGTAGAGAAAAGTGATAGAGATGACTCTACTACATATCTCACCAAGAACAGCAACACAGCAAGCATTGTCACATAACTCGATAGGATTCATAATAGATATGTTTCTACTACAGATATCAGGTTTTGGGCATGCGACCTCTGACATCGAGGATGTTTCGGGCGAAAGGAACCACAGACAACATCGCGAGCATCCAGCATCACCACGCATGCACTGAAACTGATCTTGGATTGAGAAGTTCCTTTTCATCCCATCTCATCTTGTCTTTCAGGCCTGATAGCACTTTCAGGTGATGGTTGGTGTCATAGGAGCTGGATGCGCAAGAGACAGGAAGAAGTTGAAGTCATATGAAGGAGTGCAGAAATCACAGGATCGGGCTAAACGAGAGCTTAAGGAAGAGTTTGCTGAAATCAGTAGTAGATATAGTCCTATGGCATAACTTGGCAGGATCTGTAGGAACACAGTCACTACTACAGAGTTCAGTGAGAATCATAATATCATGCTGAGTATGACAGATCTCACAGGGATTGGTCAAGAAAGGCACCCCATTGCCGATAGGACAAGGGGAGGATACTGTACAAAGGAAGAACACCACCAGATGAAGCAGGGGCCTGGCACAATGATGAAGTCAGGGCCACCAGGTGGGCGCTGATGACAAGAGGGTGATGAGAGGGGGTGCAGGTTGCCACCCAGATGAAGTGGGACTAGCCCCTATAGGAGATAAGACCATGACAGACTGTCCATCTGCAGGGGGTGAGAGAAGCACCATGCAGTGGATGGGAAGGATAGGAAGGGATGAGGAGGGGGAGCAGTGTCGACGAAACCTCCAGAGTAGGAACAGTGTCGCAGGCGATGTTGCAGGAGTGGGTATATAACCATGCTCCTTGTCATGACAAGTGAGTGGATGGGCATCCACTCTACACCATAATAACTAGTATCACTTCTACACCAAGTACATTAGTTTCAGTCAGCATAGTTGCAATCAAGTAGATTGCTCTCATTGTAGCATGTGTGTCATATCACCACTCACTGATGTCCGAAGGTGGTTCATCGCAACCAGTGGTCCGGATAAAGATAGAACCGAAGGTGTCACAGGGACGGCTGGCCTGCGCAAGAGAGTGCGCCAAATGATCAGCGGCAGTCATGGTAATTTCGCGTAACGGAGCAGTATATGAAGGGTGCACAGAAGATCAACATATGAAGGGTGCACCAGATTGATCAGAGCCAAAAACCATTGGGGATCAATGAGATTAATCAGGTTGGCAGTGCACATGAATTATGAGATCAATTGAACCCCAGGAATCCAGATCAATCTCATGGGATTGGTCAGAGTCAGTTGGATCAGCACACTTCAACTAGTTGGCTGATCCGAACAAGTAGACAGAACTGTGCCAATGTGACCACATGACCAGGGGGTATGGTCACAAGGTTCAAAGGGGTTTCACAAGATAAAGTCGAAAGGGAGCTGTGTTGAAAGGGGGCATCACACATCAGACAGAAGGAGAGCATGTAGGCAGGAGGGCAGTGTCATGGGCCTGGATGCTCAAGAAGCAGGAGGGTCACGGGTTCATATGGAAGGAGCACAGGTATCGAAGACCTAGTCGATACCAGTAGAGAGCATGGTCGTAGTGCAGTCTCCATGGAGACCATGGACTCTTATGGACTCACATGCAAAGGAGAACCAAGCCACATGTGAGGAGGGCCAGGCACAGCCACAAGGAGGACCAAGCTCAAGGAGCAGGCACAGCCACGAAGAGGACCAAGCTCAGATGGTTACCACTCAGGGGCTCGAGAGACCAGAGTCATAGGACACTGGCAAGCAGGTCCTGAGGAAGAGGAGCAGTGTCGAGGGAGTCGACACCAGGTCATGAGGAGGAAGAGCAGTGTCGGAGGAGTCGACACCAGGTCATGAGGAGGAGGAGCAGTGTCGAAGGAGTCGACACCAGGTCATGAGGAGGAGGAGCAGTGTCGAAGGAGTCGACACAGCTCAAGAGGCACAGGGGTGCCAAGCAGGAGAGGCCCCTGAGCAGTACTCGATGAAGAAGGTACTCTCTGGAGAGAGAGCAGGAGCAGCATCGCTGGCGATGCTGTGAAGAGGTATATAACCATGCTTTCTCATCATCATAGGTCGAGTGGATCCTCATCCACTCTACTCACCATACAACTAGTCAATACTTTAGAAACACAAGTACTCATTAGTTACAGTCAGCATAGCAGCAATCTATCAAGGTTGCTCCTCATCATAGTGTGTGTGTTGTATCACCACTACCTGACGTCCGAAGGCGCCCATAGCAGGTTAGCAGTCCGGATATAGATAGAACTGAAGGCAGTAGTCCACTGCGGTCTGGGGATCACTTCAAGCATCAAGTCAACACACTGGACACTCGTGTTGACACCACCAACCTTATCACCAACACCATCAACCTCATTATCATCAACACCCACCAACCTTATCACCAACATCATCAACCTCATCATCATCAACACTCACACCAGACCTTGGTGTCATCATAACATTGATATTGATCGTGCCGAGCTACCCCTGAATGGAGTGTCCACAGAGGTCAGCCGAAACCTACGATAGTATATACAACGAACACCACCTGTTGCCACTGCACAACTTGATAGTCACCGATACTGAGACAATAGCTGTCGCACAGTTTGATAGTCACCGAGTATCTCGACAGACCGACCTGGGTTTCAGGCGCGAGACCCCTGACAGGCAGTGTTGCATAACCCTTATGCTGAGCAAATGGTAGGAGCACAGTATCAAAGGGGTCAGTGCCAGCAGGGCAAGACAATGCCTAACAGGGGACAAAGGCCCCTCAAGAGGAGCAGGATAGGTGTTGAGGGAAAACACCAACCGAATGTATAAATACTCTCATTCTACCATAGCATACAAGTGGAGGGGCATCCACTCTGAACTCAACTTACTTACTCTATACTTACTCAGTTATGTATCATTGCAATAGCAGTGCTCTTGCAACAACTCTCAATGTGTGTGTTGTATCACCATTAGTCGACAACTGTAGGTGGTGTTCTTCACACTAGCGGTCCAGTTCATTACTGTAGGCAGTGTTCTTCAACACCTGTGGTCCAGTCCCTTGCTGTAGGTGGTGTTGCTCGACACCAGCGGTCCAGTTGGTTATTGTAGGCAGTGATTCACACCAGCGGTCCAGTAACTCCTGTCCTCTGTAGGCGATTAGCAAATCACAGTCCAGACGATGTCCAAGAGCATTATCAACAGTACTACAAACACTCATACTGTAGGGGAGGGTGTATCACCCACTCACCAACAAACAATGTTCATGCTGTGCAACCTCTGAATGGAGTGTTCAAGGTGGTCAGTTGAGACTTACTAGGTGACAACGCTTGGTCACATTTAGGCAAATCATATCGAGTAGTCCTTACTCAATCAACCTCAGTTAGTCTCTGGCACGCGATCGCTTACAGAAGGCAGTCATCCACTGCGGTCTGGGGATCACTCCAAGCACTTAGTCGACACACTGGACACTTGTGTCAATGTCACCAGCAATCATATTCACACCAGCCCTTGGTGTCAGTACAAGTTCACACCATTATTGATCATGCTGAGCTACCTCTGGATGGAGTGTCCACAGTGGTCAGTCGAGATCTGCAATAGCATAAGCTCCATCACAAATTCAAGCGAGTATAGTCATAGGGACACTACTATGGCATAACTTGATGAGAATTGTAATACATCACATACAATCACATATCTCGGCAGGATCTGTAATAGAAGCAGTTCTACTACAGATCTTGGGTTTCAGGCATGCGACCTCTGACAGTTGGCAACAGTGTTGAGTTCAGGTGTGGGTCCCGGTGTGGCATCACAGCCAAGCAATCGATGGCCAAAGTCGTTTGAGGCGAAGGTGGGAGTATTGCCTCTACTTGACATAGGGGGTTCATCTTTAACAGGGTAATGGTGTTGCTCTGCATCATGAACTGAGCCCATTGAACCTTCGACCTTGAAGTTGAGGATCCAAGCTGCATTCCACTCTTTGTTGATGACGAATTGATTGACTCTGATTTGCATTTGTCTGCCAAGTTCGGCTTGGTTTGGGAACAGACCGAGATTGTGCATTCCATAATAGAGTTCACTAACACACTCAATCATTATGGAGAGAGGTGAGATGACTTGCTTGTTATCACCAGTGACGGCGAATTCTAGTAGATTTCCCTCCTTTGGAGCCTTCTGTCACAGGACCGGATGGATGCGCAGGAAGAACTGGTTTCATATGAAGAGGAGTGCAGAAATTGCGGGATCGGGCTAAACAGGAGCCTATGGCAGAGTTCACTGAAGTTGGTAGTAGTAGCAACTCTATGGCAAAACTCATCATGATTGGTAGGAACATGGGTCTTCCTACAGGAGCTGGTAGGACTGGTAGTATCATGCTTGCTACAGAAGATCTCACAGGAATCAGTTTTGGAGAGGCCTCTATCGCCAATAGGGCAAGAGGATGACAACAAAGAAGGAGAGGTTGCCACTGGATGAAGAAGGGGCCTGACTGGATGATGAACTTAAGGCAGACTGGTGGGCAAGATGAGTAGGAGTGTGCATCACCACTCAGATGAAGTGGGACTGGCCCCTGACAGATATGAGGCAGCAAGGGGCCCATCCATCCACAGGAGACAAGGAAAGTGGTGCCAACAAGTAGCATCACAAGGTGGATGGAGAGCAAAAGAGGCATGAGGAGGGGGAGCAGTGTTGCAGGCAACACTGCAAGACAGGTATATAACCATGCTCCCCATCATAGCAAGTGAGTGGATCACCATCCACTCTACACCATACATAACTAGTTATCACTTTAGCATAAGTATACATTAGTTTCAGTCAGTGAAGTTGCAATCAAGTAGATTGCTACCATTGTAGCATGTGTGTTGTATCACTGCTCACTGATGTCTGAAGGCAGTTCATAGCAAACCAGTGGTCCAGATAATGATAGAACTGAAGGCAGTCATCCACTGCAGTCTGGGGATCACCTCAAGCACTCAGTTGACACACTGGACACTCATGTTGGCACCACCAACAATCTCAGTCACACCAGACCTTGGTGTCAGTATCAGTTCATATAAGTTATTGATCATGCCAAGCTACCTCTGGATGGAGTGTCCACAGCAGTCAGTCGAAACCTGCAATAGCAAACCCACTATTACATCTTTGGGCAAGAAAAGTCATAGAGGCTTCTCTATGACATACCTCAATAGAAATAGTAATACACCACACATTACCACATATCTTGACAGGATTCGTAATAGACACATTTCTATTATAGATATCAGGTTTTAGGTGCGAGACCCCTGACAGATCTTTGGCAGCCGTGGAAGGAGATCTTCCATCGGAGCGACGAAGTCATTGTAGAGAGAGTAGTTTATGTCGGACATCATTGAAGGTGAGTTCAAGGATGAGGTAGGGCTTTGATTTGGGCTCATAACCAGATAGAAACTGAAGTTGTTTCGGTCCCAATACTAGCGATTGGGGATAGTCTAAGTACAATGTCACTATTCCATTAAGGCAGAAACATATATTCAATTGACTGAAGAAAAAGGAGTGTGGTGGGAGCCTCAAGCTCCCCACAAGATATATATACAAACTGGGTGGTATACACCAGGTGTGGATACATCCTACTTAATGATGAGGTCTGACAATGAGTGGGTATAGGTTGTACCTGATCTTTGATCTCTGATCAGATCATCCCTCACCTGATCCATCTTGTAACTGCTTATGTCACCCCATATCATTTCACTGGATCATTCCTTTCAGTAGTAATAACGTAACAGTTGGCGGAGCGAACGAACTAAAATTTCAAATGGAAATAATCGAGATGGTCTAACAGATTTATGCATTTGCCAATTTGGTACGCTTTGGCCATGTGGATCTGAGTTGAAATTAGATACACCACTCAGGAGGCCACGGTCAGGCACTCCTTTTAGTCTGATGCTCTATATGTAAAAGGCATGTAATTATGTAAGGAGGTAATGAATAAGCTATGAACATATATACATATTCTCTGCACCTGACTGTGCTCACTTTGTTGAGTCATGCCCATGTGCCACATATCTTCTTTCATAAGTGTTGTCATATCAACATGTCCCCTCCATACCATGGTGTCAATCCTCATGCATAGGCTGCATTAGCTCCCACTAGCCTCACATTTTGCTTGTCCTCCTCATTGCCCAATGCCTTCCCGATTCCCCAATCCTGTGAGCTCCCATTTACTATGTCATGCGTTGGCGATGCTGGTGCCTCTTCAACTATCTGCCACAGCCCGCACGTGATTTTGGATTCTAACTCCACCTAACCTTCCTTCCATCCACTCATCTGCACACACGCTCTCGACACCACATACTTGACGAACCTCGTCAGCGTATCATCGACGCCTGAGTGCGCTCCTTTCTCCAGGACCACCAGCCACACAGCACCCAGCGCTGATCTTCGAACACCTTTCCATCGATAGGAGCATTGCACGGCCATGGACAACTTTCGCAAAATCGACATTGACCAGTACGATGAGGACGTGATTTCGAACGAGGAGCTGGTGGAGCCATATCCCAAGTCACCAGAACAGGCACTATCAGATGCCAAGGCAAAGTCGATCGAGGTTAGGACGTTGATCGGACGGTGAGTTGCATCCACTATCTCGCAGTGGCAGCATGGATCGCGGAGGCAGCAATGCGATCTTTTCAGCTGTTCTCCAGCGTTGCTCGACATCTACTGACACGAACCGACATCCGATGCACCGGGATGAAATACTATACTTTGTCTTTGCACCTTTACAGAGGAGATATTGCAGGAGCATTGGCCCTCATTCTCACAGATTACCCTTACGGACCCAATGTTGTTGAAGCAAAGGTAAGTCGAATCAGCCTCGATCGACTGCTTAGAGTACACTTCCATCAGTTCAGATGCCTCGAAACTCTGTTCAACCAAGCAGTCAGACCGCTTTAGTCTGTATCACCTGCTCACCCATTCGACCTCTTTTTCTCGCTCAACACCCTAACACAGACCATCACATTGCAATCGCTACTGGAGATCGTCAACAGCACCAAATCGAGCGACATCCCAGCTGCCGTCAAAGCGACCTCACTCTACCAGCGTGACGCACTCATGAAGTACCTCTACAAGGGTCTCGAACTCGGCGGCGAAGAAGAAGGCATCAACTGCGCTGTTCTTCTTGGCTGGCATGAACGCGTGAGTACCCAACAACGCATGTACCCGATCTCAGTCTCAATGGGATCGTGGACACTACTGCGGAAGGCAAGAAGCTGACATCAAACGCAATCTCGTTTGCTTTGGTCTGGCATGGACAGTTGACGGAGGTCGCAGGAACAGGATGCATCGTTCGTGCCATGTCGGATCGTCGTACTGTTTAGAGTAGAAGGATGGGTTGTAGACAGGCGGCGTAAGCCTTCAATGTCACTCATGGAATCAACAAAACTCTGTTCAGATCCACATCCAGCCAAGATCTTTGCCTTCGATCTCTTTGATTGCCCTCTCGCTCAACACAGCTGTGTATCGATGGCGCCGAGGGCTTTGGGACAGCTCGATGCGCAAAGCAGCTCAGTATCTGTTGAGGGACGTGCGTCGAAAGTCCATGATCACGAGTGTTGATTGCGATAATAAGCATCTCTAAGTACATGACAATTGCTAGTGTATATATGTGTCTCGGCGTCCTGTGTATATGTGTGTTTCACAAAGATGATGAGGTTGAAGCGTAGCATGGAGATTACAGAGATACCGTGTCGGCTATCCATTGGCCGGTGCTCTAAAGTCCGACAGTCGGCCCGGGTGGCGTGTGTATACCTGAGTAAGCGAAGTTGACGTTCGTGTGAAATCGGAGCCGGATGTAAGCGGTCGCGCGCCTGAAACCTGAGTTTGACGATCCTGGTTGATTTCTGTGAGACTAATTGAGTAAGTACCTTTTGAACAGTTTCTGTAAAAAGAATCAGAAGGCTGCCTTCTGGTGGGGTTTGACTGACTGCCTTGAACACTCTGTTCAGAGGCTATGCAGCATGTCCAAAGAACTAGATTGGGAATGCTATATGATGCAGCCTCCCATAGCAGCACAAGTGTTTGTAGTGCTGCTTGTTGCTTGATGGTATTTGATGATATCTGGACCACAATAAGGTTATCACCTGCAGATGAGAGAGGTACTGGACCGCAGGTGTTATACACCGCCTTCAGTGAACAACTGGACCACAATGTCATGGGACCAGATGAATGCACAGGAAGAACTGGGAACATATGAAGAGACCATGTGTCAGAGGTCGCGCACCTGAAACCTGAGATCGGTAGTTGTATCAATACTATTACAATTGAAGATAACAATTAGTATACGGCGTTATCAGGGTCACGATCAGACTCCCTTTACCACAGCCGTATGTTCTATATAATACTACCATTTTATATAGTGTGGACCTAAATGACAAATGCATATATATATACTCTATTTGCCACTATAGTCCTATCCGAGACAGGACGTGTTACTTCATTCATACTCCTGTGTTGCTATGATACTGGGTGCCACTAAGCTGTCGCCATGGCAACGATCGTGTATCTCATTCGTGCTTCTCGCTTAAGTAAGCCTCCTGCACCTTGGTGTCTCGGCCGTGACACGTGCATCTTGCTTGAGATGCCGATGCATCTTCAACTCCCCCCTTCGGCGGGATCTCCAGCCCTATCATCCTAGCCAATCGTGAGGTGTTGAGACCCTGTAAAGGTTTTGTCAAGACATCTGCAACGTTGTTTGCTGTTCCGACATATTTGATTGCCACATCGCCCTCTTGCACGTGATCGCGGATGAAATGATACCATGTGTCGATGTGCTTTAACTTCCAATGTTTGGCTGGATCTTTACTCACCTGTATGCACCCCTGGCTATCTGTGTATAGCATGGGCCGAACGTCCGTGATCTCCAAGTCCCGGAGCAAATATGAGAAGAACAATGTTTCTCGCACCGCTTCGGAAGCGGCGACAAACTCTGCTTCGACTGCTGACAATGCCACACACTTTTGAACGTGAGATTTCCAACTCACTGGACATCCATACACATATGTTATCGACCCCGAGGTGCTCCTTCGTCCATTTGTGGGGTCAGATGCCCAGTTTGTGTTGGTATACGTCGTTACTGGTGTATCCGAGTGCTTGTTTGTCTCCCCTCCTAAGTGCAACTGATATTCATTCATTTGGTTCAGGTACTTTACCACGTGAATGGCTGCCTTCCATGCACTGTCGATCGGGATCGACATATATTGCGACAATATGCCAACAGCAAAGGCAATATCTGGTTGGGCTGTGTTGGAGACCCATAATAGTTGGCTGACCAACTCTTGATACTTCTTTGCTCGCTGAGGTTCACATCTCTCGCCTCCGGCGACATTCGCTACGCTCAGCATGGGTACCCAAGATTTCTCGTTTGCTCCTCCTAACCATTTGTTCACCATTTCTTTGATGTATGCCATTAGGCCCAGAGATATCCTCCTCTGTCTTCTATCACATGTGATCTTGATACCCAGAAATTCTTTGATCCTTCTGTTGTCTTGCGTCTCCCATTTGTCCATGATCTCTCGCTTAGTGCGGTCTACTTCATCACGACTGGGTGATGTTATCAGCATGTCGTCCACGTATGCTGTGATGATCGTGATCTTGTCGCCTGTCCCTCTTGAGTATAGGCATGGTGCGCTCAGCATGCAATGAAATCCGATTGTCCGGAGATGTGAGTCTAACTCAATGTTCCATTCTCGGCCCGATTGTTTCAGACCATACAGTCCTTTCACTACCTTCAACGCTTTTCCGGGTGGTATTTTGATTCCTACTGGGGGCTTGAGATATACATCATGGTGTATAGTGGAGTTCAGGTACGCTTGCTTTACGTCAATAGAATCTATTTCCCAATCTCGTACTGCTGCGACAGCGATCACCCCTCGATTGGATTGGATGGGTGCTACTGGTGCGAAGACCTCTGTGTAGTCGATGCCCTCGCGTTGAGTGAAACCTCGTGCCACGAGCCGGGCTTTGAACTTTGTCGGCACGAGGTTTGCATCGGTTTTGATCTTGAGTACCCAACGTGTGTCAACGGTGTTTGCACCCTTTGGGAGGTCGGCTATCTCCCATGTGCCCATCGCCTCCAATCCATCCAGCTCCTTTCGCATGGCCTCCTCCCAGTGCTTTCTGTCTTCTCCACTCATTGCTTCATGTATGGTTGGGTCCAGGTTCTTTCTCCGTTCCGGTCGCGTCGCTACGAGTCCAAAGAATTCGCTGTCAATCTGAGTTTCGGCGGTTGATCCTTGTTCCATCACCTCCGCTGTTCCTCCGCTTAACCTTTCTTCCGAATCTGTCTCCATGTCCATGTATTCTTGTAGTGGCCCTTCATCTGTTTCGTCAAATATATTTTCTTTGTTGTATCCTAGATCTTCGAAATTCTCTTCTGTCATCATCACTGGAGGTGCCTTTGTGTCAACCGGTCGCCACTCTGTTCTGTCTGACCAGCACTTTGATTCCATGAATTTTGCTGAATTGCTCCAGAACATGTTCGGATTATAGTCCGGACTGTAGAAGAGCCAGCCCTTTCTCTCTAGACTGTATCCCAAGAAAATGGATGCGACAGCTCGCTGGTCCAGTTTCTTGTTGTCCCGTTTGACTTTGGGTACGTTTACCCATGCCAGACAACCAAACACTCGTAGGAGCTTTAAAGCTCATTCCGGCGACTTGCCAAACATTGCTTGATAAGGGAATTCATTATCAATGCTCGGAGTGAGGTTTATTTTGAAAGCCGCAGCTCTGATCGCGTATGGCCAGAACTTCTTCGGTAGTCTCCTCTGCATTAGCAATGTTCTCATCTTCTCTCCAAGGGTCCTGTTCATTCTCTCTACCCATCCATTTTGTTTGCTGTTGTACCCTACGGTGGTTTGCCACTCTATGCCCTTTTCTAGTGACCATTCTAATGCATCATTGCTTTTCCATTCCGTTCCTTGATCGGATCAGATCGCTTTTAGCTTCCGATCCGTCTGTGTCTCCAGGAACGAAACAATCCTTTTGAGTTGCATAAACGCATGACTCTTTCGTGTCAATGGCTGTGCATACACATACTTGCTATGATCGTCAACCAGCACCAATGTGCATGTGTACTCCGTCACGTGGGACGAGTCTATTATTAGATCGACGTGGATAAGATCCAGGGGCCCTATGGCTCTTTCGCCGCTACCTTTCCCCATCTGAGCGCTTGTGCTCTTGGATCGTACGCACTGCTCACATGTCAGAGCAGTGTTTGGATCCAATTTCATGGTATGCTTATCTTTTAACTTGCTCGTGATCGCCTTAGCTTTATCTCTTCCTGGGTGTCCGAGATGCTCATGCCATAGTTGTTGCTTTGAAACTTTCGGCTCATTCTTAATATGCTCGAACTCCTCATCAACACCTTCAAACAATGGTGCTGATGTGGCCATTGCACTTTCTTGCCATGTGTCGCCTCGGAACTCCAAAAGTCCTCACTCGCGATTCTTTGCAATCTTAAGTGTCATGCCGTTTGTTAGAAAAATTTGACTGCCGGTTGTGTCCAATATCACTCGTGCTCCTTCATCTGTTAATGAATTCGTTGACAGAAGGTTAACATTAAGGTGCTTCACATACAATACATTTTGTAGGGAGATTTCCCCGTAATCTGTTGATATGCTTGCATCTCCTATAGCTGCCGCTTCCAAGACCTCGCTTCCGGTGGTAATTATCCACTTTCGGCAAGTTCTCGGGTGGATGAGCATGCTGTAGTCGTTCACCATATGATAACTCGCCCCCGAGTCCAAGATCCAATGAGCTGTTTCTTTTGTGTTCGAGGGGTCTTGCCATTTCAATGGGAGGGTGAGGGAGCACCACACTTCCTATTTAGGTTCAGCGAGGGGGGAGTCTTTGGGAATGGTGACCAAGGCGTCGCATTGACTAATACCATGTCCCAGTCGCTTGCAGATCCAGCATTGGATTCGGCGTGGTCTGCCTGCGTTCCTCGAGCTCGCGTGGCTGTTGTTGGCTTCGGCTTCGGTCTCTCCGGCCCGTTCGTTTTGATTGTCGTTGCTGGCGGTTCTAGCACTGGCTTGTTGGGGGTCGATCATTTGTGCGGGGACGCTCTCAACAGCGGTCTGCCGGATACTTAGTGCGGTGGCAAGGGTGTTGAAATCGATTTGATGAACGGTGGCAACCGTCTCCTTGTACACTGGATGCCGGATCGTGCATTTCTGCAGAGCCGAGAACAATGTATCATCGGCAAATGGTTTGCCAAGGAGGCTGCTTTCAGTCTGTATGGACCGGATCTCTTGAATTAGCTTTCTGGCATCCAAGTGAAACATCTTTGTATCATTGAGCTGCGAGATGAGCGCAAGTCTGTGAGACGTCTTGGTGGCTTCATTCGTGAGACTGTTTTCGATCTTTCTCCATACTTGGTTGAAAGTAAGGTACTCCTTGATTACATCTAGAACGAGGTAATTTACATTGTATTCCCCGGTAGTGTCAATTGTTCCATGCAGGGCATTGATTAAAGCATCATCGAGGGAGCGGCTCCATTTCGGGTGCTTCTTGTCGTATGTTCCCTCGAGATGTTTCATCGCATGGGGCACGGATCGGAGGAAAGATTTCACGTGAGCACTCCAGCTATAATAGTTTCGTGACGTGAGCTTTGGCACGGGTTCGAGGAGCTTTGCTAGGGTGCGAAAGTTATATCGCTTGTCGCCATCATCAAAGTCGGAGTCAGAATTGGTGTCTTCGTCGGCTTCATTGTTGATGGCCTCCGGCTCGTTCTCATTCGTGGCATTATTGTCGACCCGAACCTGGGTGTTCTTGCCCTTTCTCCTTCCTTTGGTCCTCGTTTCGGTGTCTTCTACCATGGTTGTCGACGAGTTTCAGTTAGCTCGGTGATAGCTTCTTCAGACTCTTAATCAATTGAAGATAACAATTAGTATACGGCATTATCAGGGTCACGATCAGACTCCCTTTACCACAGCTGTATGTTCTATATAATACTACCATTTTATATAGTGTGGACCTAAATGACAAATGCATATATATATACTCTATTTGCTGCTATAGTCCTATCCGAGACAGGACGTGTTACTTCATTCATACTCCTGTGTTGCTATGATACTGGGTGCCACTAAGCTGTCGCCATGGCAACGATCGTGTATCTCATTCGTGCTTCTCGCTTAAGTAAGCCTCCTGCACCTTGGTGTCTCGGCCGTGACACGTGCATCTTGCTTGAGATGCCGACGCATCTTCAACTATTACCGATTCTGTCGAGTTATGCGACAGTGCTTGTGGTATTGCGATTTTTCACAAGATATGCAGTAGAGCCTTCTCTATTATTTTTCTCGCTCGAATCTGTAGTTGTGATGATGCTATTGCAGATTTCGACTGACCACTGTCAGACACTCCGTCCAGAGGTAGCTCAGCACAATCAATAACTTATGCAAACTCGCTGATGACACCAAAGGTCTGGTGTGAATATGGATTGGTGGCGTCGACACAAGTGTCCAGTGCATCGACTATGCTTGAGGTGATCCCTGGACCACAGTGGACGACTGCCTTCGGTTCTATCAAGATCCAGACTGCTGGTTTGCTAAGAACCACCTTCGGATGTCAGGAAACAGTGATACAACACACGCGCTTCGATGAGAAGCAATCTATTGATTGCAACTTAAGCTGACTTGAAAACTAATAAGTACTTATGTTTCTAAAGTATTGACTAGTTGTATGGTGAGTAGAGTGGATGAGAATCCACTCGACCATTAGTGATGAGAAGGTGTGGCTTTTATACCTCTTCGCAGTGTCGCCCATGTCACTGCTTCTGCTCTCTCTCCAGAGAGTACCTTCTGCATCGAATACCTCACAGGAGTCTCCAATGAGGCTCCTCCTCCTCATTGCGCCATCCATCTGTCTTTCCTGAGCTGTGCCAACTCCATCGACACTGCTTCTCCTCTTTATGTCTTCCTCACTGGTTTTCTCTTACACTGCTCTCCTCCCTGGGACCAGCGACAGACCCCCTTTATTCCTATCTTGTGTGCCCCTGAGTGGTAACCAGCTGCATGCTCCTGAGCTAGGTCCCCTCTTGGCGGTGCTTGGTCCCACTACTTGCATGTGAAGCTTCACCGCACTATCATCCTTACCACTGATCTCCGCAGAATCCGTGATAGGATCTTTCCTACTACTGATCCTGGTGGGATCCGCCATACCCTTTCTTCTATCACCGATCTCAGTGTAATCCATAGTACCATCATCTCTCGTGCCAATCTTGTCATTGTAGTACTATCCTTCCTTTTGCCGATCTCAGTGAGATCTGTCATAGGACTGGCACTACTACTGATCTCAGTGATGTCCATCTCAAATCCCACGATCCACCTGATCCCTTGATCCCTGCGCTCCCTTCATATGAATTTGATGGATCTTCTGGCCTCTGTGCATCCATTCCCATGACATTACCCCCCTTATAAGAGCCAAGCTCCGTTGAGGCTAGCCTGTGTCATGTCCGTGTTCTGTTCTCCCCCCCCAAACACCCATCTTGGTCATTGCCATACACCTCTTTCGACAGCATGACCAATCTCCCATACCAAACCCATTCGTGAGCAGCTGTGAATGCTCCTCCCCCTCCTCCTCGTCGTCGTCGGATCATTGTCTGACTACATCCTCACGAGGACTCGGCTCCTGCAGCTGAGCCTCCTGCTTCGCACATGCCAGCCTGCCTGGTCAATCCTCTCGCTTCCCCGGTGGTTCCTGCTTCTCCACTGGAGCCGCTTTTCTTGGGGATGGATGACGACACTGTCATCTCTGGACATTCGGGGTCCCCCCCCCCCCCTGCTCTCACTGTGCCTGCCCGGGCAGGCGAAGATTATTCCCTGGCATCGCCTCCTCGTCCCGACCTTTATGAGGTGGATGCCCATGGGCCTCCTCGGGAGCTGACAACTCCTGAGCACCAGGCACTCTGGGAGGCCAAGTTGGCACGAACACCAACTCCTCCTCCAATGGCCGACGAGGTCATCGACTCGATCCTGGATGCCCCTTGACAGGGCACTCCCGTTTATCGGCTGGAGGTTCAGCCGTTGACGCCCCCTCCTTGGTGGAGGAACTGTCAAACTCCTCCACCCCCTCCTCCTGATCACCACCTTCCAATGAATGGTGAGATCGCTGGTTGGGCCGAGAGATTCGTCGTTGCCGACGTTGTGGCCCGGATTGCGGACCAGCACTACCCCTTGGATTGGGATGTGCCTCATGGTTCGATCCCTGAGCACCACTTGCATTGCCTGGCCATGTTGCACCTGACTGAAGGCTGCATGCCATGGCCTAGTTGGCAATGCCGTCAGTGCTTCAACTTGGGTATTCCGTGAGTTCCTCCCTTCTTCCCCATGTTTACCCTGGTCCAACTGATACTGACCCTCTTTTACTTTACTTCCTACAGTTGCTTTGCTTCTGTGTTCACCAACCCATTTGGTGAGCGCAACCGAATTCCCCATGCTTGTACGCACTGTTACCTTGCTGGGTTGGGTCACTGCGAGCATGATATTCCTGCCCATCCGGGTATGGAATATCCTGGCGATGGGACCCCCAGCCTGCAGCCACAGGGCTCGCATCAGGCAGAGCAGGCCCACTTGACCATGGCAGGTGGAGATGGTCCAGGTCTTATTTGTTTGGAAGAGTGAACTTTCGACCCTGTCATGACTGGTGGTTGGGTGACTGCAATGCGGGTGGTCTTCCATCTTTGCCGGCTGGGATTGGTAAGTTCTATTCTCCGGGCACTCCAACTCTTTGTTGAGCGTCATGACCAATTGTACTCTGAGCGCCAGCCTCATGAGTCAGTCACCGAGTCTGGCAGTCCTCCAGACCCTAATGATGAGTGGGTGGCCCCCACCGAGGAGGAGCTGGTGATTCGTTTGTCTCTTGCTCCTCCTCCTCCTCCTTCCTCCTATGTCGACATGTAGCGACATGTCACATTCTGCAATATCGACGCCTCTTGTCCCTGAATGAGTCTGTGTCCTGACCCCTGTGGTGTCACTTATGAGCCTGGCTGTTGATTACCATGCTCTTGAACCCCTCCTTGTATGTTGAGAGTAGTATTTCAGATCCACTTCCTGAAATCTGCCATACCACTAGTACTGTGACAGATTTCCGCATAGTCTGTAATAGCACCTCTACTCTCGCATTTTCTGCTCAAATCTGCTCCAATTTCCTTCTTACCGTGTAGTCTGTAATAGTGCCTATTCTGTCACAGATTTTGCTCAAATCGGTTCTAGCTCCCTTCTTACTGATTTCTCCTTTTCCTCGTGCTTGCTAGTCTTGTCCCCCCGCCGACGCCTCATACTCCTGGATGAGGTCAGGGCAATTGAGATTCGACACTGGTTCCCAAGAGGCAGCCTCTTCTGGGTACTCTCTCCAGAGCACCTTATATTTGGTCATCCTGTTGTGTGAACATTTGCCAATAAGTGCTTCGACTTCAAAATCGAGATCCTCCTCTGGTAGCGGTGGTATGATTGGTTGTTCCAACCATTGAGCTAGGGAGCTCGTTCTTGCTGGTTCAAGCAAGGACACATGAAACACATCATGTACTCTGAGGCTGGCTGGCAACGTGATCCTATATGCTTGTTGGCCCACCCTTTCCTGAACTGGGTAAGGTCCTGCAAACCTAGTGTCAAGTTTTGGCGTTGGTCATCTGGTTTTCCAGTTTCGGTGATTGATGTAAACCATATCGCCCACCTTAAACTCGATGTCTTTGTGTTTTCGGTTGTACTGTTCCACTGTGCAATGTTGTGCTTCCCTAATCTGGTCCTGGAGGTACTTGCAGCACTCTTTTCCATCGACTAGGAACTCTGAACGATCTGGGTCGTTGACTCCCAGCCACTGAGGAATGTCAGGGTGAGCCTTCAGGTTCCAACCATAACAAGTGAAGAACAGTGAGATGCTGATACTATTGTGGACTGTGTTGTTATACACAAATGCTGCTGTCTTGAGCAGCTCAGCCCAATCGTTCTGCTCATAGTTGCAATACATTCTCAAGTACTGCTCTACCACCTGGTTGACCCTCTCAGTTTGTCCATCAGTCTGTGGATGATAAGCTGTGCTGAGGGAGTGCTTAGCACTTATGCCCTTAGTGAACGCTTTCCATGCCTTTGAAATGAACTGTCTTCCTCAGTCAGAGACCATATGGTCCAGATAACCAAAGTGTCAAACCATGTACCTCCAAAGTAGTACAGCAGTTTGTGTCGCCATGACTGTCTTATGAGTTGGTGCCAAGATAGCATACTTGGTCAGTCTATCGACAATGACCAGGATGGAATCAAACCCCTTTGACACTGGAAGGCCCTCAATGAAGTCCAATGATACTGAACCCCATGGTCTGTCTGGTGTGGTGAGCAGTTGGAGCAAGCCATATGGATGATGGCGAGGGGCTTTGTACCTAGCACAGACAGGGCAGCTTGCAACATAGTCAGCAATCCAAGCTGTCATGTTGGGCCACCAATAGTGCCTCTGGGCCGCTCTGATGGTGGCATCTCGTCCCACATGACCGGCGGTGATGCCATCATGGCATTGGGTCATGACCATGAACTGTAGATGTTCGACAGAGAGGGATTGGCCATCCACTTCCTGAGCACTTCGTGACTGGCGGTCATTGGTTCGTCCAGGCATTGTTACCTTTGGTAGAACCAATCTTCCCCCACTATGCCATAAGTCATCTTTGGTCTCGAACGGCTTCTTGGCATGTATCTCCTGTAGCTCTGGGTCCAAAGGCTGAAAAATCTTGGTCAGGTCCCTGAGTCCTTTCGTTGCTATGGTATCCATCGTGAGCATGGGAGCCGCCAATACAGACTCATTCTCTAAGTCTGTTGGTGAGACCGATTCCACTGAAATCGGTAGTATTGTGCTTGTTATTACATTTTCCGCTGGAATCTGTCGTAACCCACTTCCTATTTCAATGCCAGATTCCACCTTTTCGAACACCTGAGAAGGCAGCAGTTGCTGCACATTGTGTTCCTGTTCTTCACCGATTGGTTGCATGTCAATTCGTCTAGTGAGGGCATCAGGTTTGCCTCCCTTGTCTCCTGGGTGATACTGCAATATGAAGTCAAAATCTGCTAGTAGTATGGCCCATCGAGCTTGTCATCCCGTGATACGATGCTGTGACTTGAAGTATTTGAGCACTTCATGATCTGTAAGGATGACCAACTGACTCAGCAGTCCTGCTAACATGTGCCACCATTGAGTGAGACAAGCTACCACTGCTAGAAGTTCTTTATCATGAATTTCATAGTTCTTTTCAGCCGAGGACATCTTCCTGGAGTAGAATGCTACCAGATGCCAACATCCTTCATGCTCTTGTTTGAGCACCCCGGCAATGGCGAAATCACTTGCATCTGTCTCCAGCCTCGTGGGAAGGTGGTAGTTAAAATGCTGAAGCACTCCAGCTGTCATGAACGCTTGTACGAGCTTGTGAAAGGCTTGTTGAGCCTCTTCTGGTAGCTCAAACTTCTTGAAGCATTCCGTTGGTTTCACCAGTGATGTTAACAGCTTGGCGATTCGTGCGAAGTGAGCTATGAATTGTCAGTAGAAGTTGGCAAAGCTGAGAAACCATTGGATGTCATGGATTGTCTCTGGCATTGGCCATTCCTTCACGGTTCGCACCTTCTCCAGGTCCATCTCAATCCCAGTCGGGTTGATGATGTACCCCAGGAATTCCACTGTGGTGATGTGGAACTCACACTTGGACAGCTTGGCAAAAAGTCGATTGCTCCATAATCATGTGAGGACTTCTGTGACATGCTGTACATGTTCTTACTCCATACTGCTGAAGATGAGGAAGTCATCTAAGTACACCACCACATAAACTCCAATGATGTCCTGGAAGATGTGATTGATGAAGGACTGGAAATGAGCTGGCGCATTTGCCAGGCCGAAGGGCATTACCAGGTACTCATAGAGTCCCAACTGTGTGCCAAATGCAGTCTTCCATTCATCTCCTTTTGCTATGCAAATGAGATTGTAGGCCGCTCGCAAGTCTAGTTTCATATAGACCTTTGCCTTCCGAAGTAGGAATAGCTGTTCCTCAATGAGGGGCAACAGCGCCTGATTCTTGAGGGTGATCTCATTCAAGCCACGATAGTCCACGCATAGTCTGAGACCTCCATCCTTCTTGGGTACGAAGAGCACTGGTGATCTTGCCGGGCTCTTTGAGGGCCATATGAACCCCTTTGCGAGGTTCTCATCCAGGTACTTCCATAACTCAGCCATCTCCTTGGGTCCCTTGAGATACAGCGGACCCTGGGGTGGCTTACTATCCTCCATTAACTCAAGATGGAGGTCATGTTTGGTATGGTGGGGCAGCTTATCTGCTTCTACCTCATCAAACATGTCCCAAAGATGTTGATATGGCACCAGTATTTCTTCCACCGATACCTCCTTATCAATCTCGACTTCCATTTCTATTCCCTTGTCATCGCCAGTAGGTACAAAACCAAAAGCTGGGAGCGATGATGGTGGGAGGTCCAAGAGTATGACCCCGATGGGTCCATCTTCAAGGGCTGCCTGTATCAGACTTGCTGCTGAAACATATTCGTTACCATGTATGGTTGGACATGTCGTTCCCTTGTCATAGGGGCCCGTTACTACCGACTTCGGCGAAATCGGTAATAAGTTGTCTTCTGTAGCGAGTGTCAGGGGTCTCGCGCCTGAAACCCAGGTCGGTCTGTCGAGATACTCGGTGACTATCAAACTGTGCGACAGCTATTGTCTCGGTATCGGTGACTATCAAGTTGCGCAGTGACAGCAGGTGGCGTTCGTTGTATATACTATCGTAGGTTTCGGCTGACCTCTGTGGACACTCCGTTCAGGGGTAGCTCGGCATGATCAATATCAATGTTATGATGACACCAAGGTCTGGTGTGAGTGTTGATGATGATGAGGTTGATGATGTTGGTGATAAGGTTGGTGGGTGTTGATGATAATGAGGTTGATGGTGTTGGTGATAAGGTTGGTGGTGTCAACACGAGTGTCCAGTGTGTTGACTTGATGCTTGAAGTGATCCCCAGACCGCAGTGGACTACTGCCTTTGGTTCTATCTTGATCCGGACTGCTAACCTGCTATGGGTGCCTTCGGACATCAGGTAGTGGTGATACAACACACACACTACAATGAGGAGCAACCTTGATAGATTGCTGCTATGCTGACTGAAACTAATATATACTTATGCTGAAGTGATAACTAGTTATGGTGAGTAGAGTGGATGAGGATCCACTTGACCTATGATGATGAGAAAGCATGGTTATATACCTCTTCTCAGCATCGCCAGCGATGCTGCTCCTGCTCTCTCTCCAGAGAGTACCTTCTTCATCGAGTACTGCTCAGGGGCCTCTCCTGCTTGGCGCCCCTGTGCCTCTTGAGCTGTGTCGACTCCTTCAACACTGCTCCTCCTCCTCATGACCTGGTGTCGACTCCTTCGACACTTGTCTCTCGAGCCCCTGAGTGGTAACCATCTGAGCTTGGTCCTCTTTGTGGCTGTGCCTGCTCCTTGAGCTTGGTCCTCTTCGTGGCTGTGCCTGCTCCTTGAGCTTGGTCCTCCTTATGGCTGTGCCTGGCCCTCCTCGCATATGGCTCGGTCCTCCTTTGCATGTGAGTCTGTAGGAGTCCATGGTCTCCATGGAGACTGCACTATGACCATGCTCTCTACTGCTGTCGACTAGATCTTCGATACCTGTGCTCCTTCCATATGAACCAGCGACCCTCCTGCTTCCTGAGCATTTAGGCCCATGACAGCGAGCTCATTTTTTTGCTCGCTTGTTACAGCAGTTTTTGTCGAATTCTGTGATAGTTCTGCCACTACGATCGATTTCGTCGATTTCATGTGTAAAGCCTCAGCTACCGCTTTCTCAGGGGGCCGCTTCGGGGGTCGCTCCTGTCCTTGGGGCCTGAACTCTAGTTGCCCCGTATCCCATCATATGGTTGGTTTGAGCCTTCTAAGTTCAGTGAACCCTAATATGAGGTCATAGTCAGCCGTATCGGCTACTGATACGTTGACTACACCTAAACTGTGGTCACCAATAGCAACCTGTATGCTTGCAGCGCTATTGATGACGAGTTGGTGTCTGGTGACACCATGGATCGATCTTGTTTTTGAGGGTTTTGTGGGTATTTGGTGCCTGCTAACAAAAGAGTCTGAAACTATGGACAAACCGGCGCCAGTGTCAGCAAGTATACGAGCTGGGTGGTCTTGGACCATCCCGGAGAGCTCCAATACCGCTTTTCCTCCACTGGTAGAGAAACATACCTTACAATCTTGATATATACATAGCGATGGCGAGGAGGTTTGTAGAGCCATGCACACCATCAGTGCATCGCCCCACTGTCGTTTCCCTCATCGACATTGTCTTTGGCCTCCTCATGGTCGGTGTCCATGGGTGGCTGGTATGGACTGAAATCTAAGTCCTTGGACTCGCCCGTCTCGGGACTACCCATTTGTCCATCTCCTGAGTCAGTGGCTCCTTCCCTGAAGAGGTCTTTGGTGGTTATCATGACCTTTGGGCCCATGGTTCATGGGCCCAGGGAGTCCACCTTCTTGCTTGGACAGTCTCTGGCCCAATGACCAATACCTTTGCACACATGGCAAGTGCTGCTGCTTAATGCAGGGTTCCCTTGTTTCAGACCCTGGACAAGCTGGTGGGGGGGAAGGCGATTGGTTGGTCGATTAAGGTTCCCTGACAATGTCTGTGCCAGCGGTTGAGTTGGAATGGTCTGTGCCGGTTGTTGAGTGGGGTATGGACCTTGAGCCAGTGGTATAGGTTGAGCTCCGGGATTTGGTCGCGATGGAATGGCACTTGGGTGCCGGGCAGAGGACTGCTGTAGCAGCATCCTTTGTCGGTCAATCTCTTCAACCTCTCGATACCATTCCCACCTCTTCACAGGTGGGTTCCACTCAAACTTCTCCTGGAGGCTCCGTGTGAGGCTGCCTCTGAACAAGTCTATGACCAATTCATTGTCATCTAGGTTAACCTGTCCTTCTAAGTCTCTGAACCGCTCGACGTGGCATGTGGCAGCACCTGGTGCATCACTCATGAGCCGGAGAGCCAACAGTTTGTTGTAGGCCTCCATTCTGGCATTCCGAGGATTGAACTGTTCTGTCAGGTGCTCAGTGAAATAATGCCAATCATTGAACAGTCTTCCTTCTTGGCCTCTGTCGATGCAAAGCTTGGAAGTCCACCATTCGCGAGTGCTCCCTTCCAATTGAGCACCCATATGATTGATCATCCTTGCTTGCTCATAGACCTGGTTGAATTTGAACCATGCCTCAGCCTCGAGAATGAAAATCTCAACATCTCTAGGATTGAACTTGGGGAATGGAGTGGTGACCAGCTTGGAGCGCAAGAGACTGGGGTCTCCAGAGGTGCTCGCATCATCCTCTTGGTCAAAACCATGAGATTCTGCCCTTGGCCGGTTGTATGGATCCACATGGGGCCTGAAGTATCTGGGCCTGGTGGGTAAGGCGTACTTGTCATAGTTGTTGACTGGCGGTTCGCTCGGTTCCACAAATGATACCACCTGCCTTGGATGCGATGCTGGGGATGGTGTGGGAGAGTCTCCCATCATCCCTTCCCTAGCCTCTCGATCTTCTGGGTGGGAGGGCTCAATCGCCTCCTCTCCACTCAGATGAGCATGGTGTAGTTGCTCTTCGCATTGCCCTTGCCTGGTAAGCTCCAACTGGGCTTCCATTAAGGAGAGTAGCCTCTCGAGCTTATCATTGAGGCTTTCGTCCATCATGTTGATCATGGGGTGCTGCTTGAATGATCCACTCTAATGTCAGAGGTTGCACACCTGAAACCTGAGATTGGTAGTTGTATCAATACTATTACCAATTCTGTCGAGTTATGTGACAGTGCTTGTGGTATTGCAATTCTTCACGAGATATGCAGTAGAGCCTTCTCTATTATTTTTCTCGCTCAAATCTGTAGTTGTGATGATGCTATTGCAGATTTCGACTGACCACTGTCAGACACTCCATCCAGAGGTAGCTCAGCACGATCAATAACTTATGCGAACTTGCTGATGACACCAAAGGTCTGGTGTGAATATGGATTGGTGGCATCGACACAAGTGTCCAGTGCGTTGACTATGCTTGAGGTGATCCCCAGACTGCAGTGGATGACTGCCTTCGGTTCTATCGAGATCTGGACTGCTGGTTTGCTAAGAACCACCTTCGGACATCAGGAAACAGTGATACAACACATGCACTTCGATGAGAAGCAATCTATTGATTGCAACTTAAGCTGACTTGAAAACTAATAAGTACTTATGTTTCTAAAGTATTGACTAGTTGTATGGTGAGTAGAGTGGATGAGAATCCACTCGACCATTAGTGATGAGAAGGTGTGGCTTTTATACCTCTTCGCAGTGTCGCCCATGTCACTGCTTCTGCTCTCTCTCCAGAGAGTACCTTCTGCATCGAATACCTCACAGGAGTCTCCAATGAGGCTCCTCCTCCTTGTTGCGCCATCCATCTGTCTTTCCTGAGCTGTGCCGACTCCATCGACACTGCTTCTCCTCTTTATGTCTTCCTTGCCGGTTTTCTCTTACACTGCTCTCCTCCCTGGGACCAGCGACGGACCCCCTTTATTCCTATCTTGTGTGCCCCCGAGTTGTAACCAGCTGCATGCTCCTGAGCTAGGTCCCCTCTTGGCGGTGCTTGGTCCCACTACTTGCATGTGAAGCTTCGCCGCACTATCATCCTTACCACTGATCTCCACAGAATCCATGATAGGATCTTTCCTACTACTGATCCTGGTGGGATCCGCCATACTCTTTCTTCTATCACCGATCTCGGTATAATCCATAGTACCATCATCTCTTGTGCCAATCTTGTCATCATAGTACTATCCTTCCTTTTGCCGATCTCAGTGAGATCTGTCATAGGACTGGCACTACTACCGATCTCAGTGAAGTCCATCTCAAATCCCATGATCCACCTGATCCCTTGATCCCTGCGCTCCCTTCATATGAATTTGACGGATCTTCTGGCCTCTGCGCATCCATTCCCATGACACCATGCACAGTGATTGTGGATTGGGCAAAGAGAGAGTTCTGACAGAGCTCAGTGAGATTGGTAGGATTGAAGGCTCTATGACAGAACTCATTGGAATTGGCAGAAGCAAGGTCTTACTACAGAGTTTGTCAAGATCAGTAGTACCATGCTTGTACAACAGATCTCATGGAAACTGGTTCAAAGATGCTGTCATGGGCCTGGATGCGCAGGAAGCAGGAAGACCCATTAGTTCATATGAAGGGAGTGCAGGAATCGAGGAATCAGGCAGATCATGGGATTTACAGAAGAATTCGGTGAGATCGGTAGTAGACATGGTTCTATGACAGATCTCATTGAGATCTGCAAGAACGAAGTTGTTATCATGAATCCCACCAGAATCGGTAGTAAGCATGATCATATGGCAGATTCCATGGAGATCAGTGATACGGATGTTTGTATGACAATTCACATGTGAGGAGGATCAAGTGCTGCCAAGACGGGGACCAAGCTCAGGAGCATGCAGATAGTTACCACTCAGGGGTTCACAAGATAGGAGTCAAGAGAACCGTTGCTGGTTGAAGGAAGAAGAGCTCTGTCAAAGACACTGGCAAGTAGGTCATGAGGAGGAGGAGCAGTGTCGAAGGAGTCGACACACAGCTCAGGAGGAACAGGAGCAGTGTGTCATGGGGGGGGGGGATGCGCAGAAGCTAGAAGATCCATCAAGCTCATATGAAGGGAGCACAGGAATCAAGGGATCAGGCAGATCGTGGGATTTGAAGCAGAGTTCACTGAGATCAGTAATAGTACCAACTCTATGACAGATCTCATCGAGATCAGCAGGAAGGAGGATAGTACTACAAGCCCAGGATCAGCTCAAGGGAAGATGGTACTATGGATCACACTGAGATCAGTGATATGAGAGGGGGTATGGTGGATTCCACCAGAATCGGTAATAGGAGAGATCCTATCACAGATTCCACAGAGATCAGCAATAGGAATGGGCATACCATGAGCTTCTGTGGGGGGGAGCGGGACCAAGTGCCACCAAGAGGGGGACCGAGCTCAGGAGCATGCAGCTGGTTACCACTCAGGGGCACACAAGATAGGGGACTGTCACCAGTCGAAGGAAGGAGAGCTGTGTAAGAGAAACCAGCGAGGAGGACAGAAGGAGGAGGAGCAGTGTTGATGGAGTTGGCACAGCTCAGGAAAGACAGACAGGACAATGCAATGAGGAGGAGGGGTCTCATTGAAGACTCCTGTGAAGTACTCGATGCAGAAGGTACTCTCTGGAGAGAGAGCAGGAGCAGTGGCACTGGCACCACTGTGAAGAGGTATAAAGTCATACCTTCTTGTCACTAGTGGTTGAGTGGATCCTCATCCACTCTATACACCATAACAACTAGTATTACTTCAAGCAAATAAGTATCATTAGTTCACAGTCAGCATAGTAGTAGTCAACAGATTGCTCCTCATCAAAGCACATGTGTTGTATCACCGTTTCCTGACGTCCGAAGGCAGTTTGTAGCAAACCAGCGGTCCGGATAACCATAGAACTGAAGGCAGTCATCCACTGCAGCCTGGGGATCACCTCAAGCGCTAGTCGACACACTGGACACTCATGTCAACGTCATCAATCCATACTCACACCAGACCATTGGTGTCACATCAAGTTCACTTAGAGTCATATCGTATTTTGATCGTACCAAGCTACCTCTGGATGGAGTGTCCACAGTGGTCAGTCGAAATCTGTCATAACATCAATACAACTACAGATTCCAATGAGAAAAGCGACAGAGATGGCTCTGTCGCATATTTCACTAGGAAACGTAATACCATTAGCACTGTCGCATAACTCGACAGAATCGGTGATAGTATCAATACTACTACAGATCTCAGGTTTCAGGTGCGCGACCGCTGACACCCATGTGGCCAATCCCCTTGCCTCTCCAGTGGCTCTCTCACCACTGGAGCCTCTTTCCTGGGGATGGATGACGACGCCATCATCCCCAGTCCCCCTCCTTCTCCTTTCCTGGCCCCCATTCCCAACCTCATGGGGAGCGACTATTCTCCAGCTTCCCTGGAGATCGACATGTATGAGGTGGATGCAAGACATCCTGCAATGGAGGTGATGACTCCAGAGCATCAAGCAGCATGGGAGGCTGAGCTGGCTCGCTCTCCCACTCCTCCTCCTACAGCTGACGAGGTCATCAATGTGGTCTTGGACACCCATCAACCAGGCACCCCTGTTTACTGGCTGGAGGTTCAGCCATTAACACCCCCTCCTCACTGGGTAGATCATCAAACTCCTCCCCCTCCTCCTCCTGACTGACACCTTCCAATGAATGGAGAAATTGCTGGTTGGTCCAAGAGGTTCTTTGTTGCCGAGCTCATGGCTCAAATCACTGACAGGTACTTTCCTTTGGACCAGGATGTGCCTGCTGGATCCTTGCCTGAGCATCATCTGCACCGGTTGGTCATGCTGCACCTCACTGAGGGTTGCATGCCCTGGCCCAGTTGGCAGTGCTGCCAGTGCTTCAACCTGGGTACTCTGTGAGTTCATCTTCCTCATTCTCTTCTGAATCTTCTGATACTGACCCTTCTTTTGCCTTTCTCAGCTGTTTTGCTTCAGCCTTCACCAACCCATTTGGTGAGCACAACAGGATTCCTTGTGCATGTACCCATTGCTACCTAGCTGGCTTGGGTCATTGTGAGTGTACAATTCCTGCCCATCCAGGCATGGAGTATCCTGGTGATGGGACTCCTAACATGCAGCTGTGGGGCTCACATCAGGCTGAGCAAGCTCACCTGACCATGGCTGATGGCAATGGCCCTGGTCTTGTTCATTCCCAGGAACAGACAATTGACCCAGTCATGACTCAGGACTGGGTGACCACAATGTGCATGGTGTGGCACCTACACTGCCAGGAACTGGTAAGTTCACTCCTGTGGGCACCCCAGGTATATGTTGAGCACCATGACCAGTTGTTCTCTGAGCGCCAGCCTTATGAGTCTGTGATGGAGTCTGGTGGCCCTCCAGACCCCATCAACTTATGGGTGGAGCCTATGGTCAATGAGCAGTGGACTTGTGCAGCCCTTGCTGCTCCCTCCATCCCCTCTGGCTATGTTGACATGTAGTGACATAGTTGCAATTCTACTGTAGTTTCCTGTGATCACTTTGAGTCTGTGTCCTGACCCTTGTGTGGCCACTCCTGACCTTATTCTGTTGGTCACTTCATTCTTTGTCTCTTGTGTGTGTGAGAAAGACCACCACCTCCTATACTTGTTGTGAAAAATTTCATAATGCCCCTTCAACTACTGATTCCCATGTAATCTGTAATAGTGCATCTTCTCTCACAGATTTTGCTCAAATCGGTTTTAGCACTCCTGGTACCACTTTCACTTTCACTTTCCTTTTCCCCTCTCATTCCACCTGTTCGTGTTAGTCCCTTCTCCCCCCCGACGCCTCATACTCCTGGATGAGGTCAAGGCATTTGAGGTTCGATACCAGTTCCCAAGAGGCAGCTTCTTCCAGGTACCCCTTCCATAGAACCTTGTATTTGGTCATCTGGTTGCATGTGCGTTTCCCAATGGGTGCCTCAATTTTGAATTTGAGCTCCTCATCTGGAAGTTGTGGTATGACTAGTTGTGCTGACTGTTGGAGTAATGAGCTTGTTCTTGCTGGTTTGAGCAGAGACACATGAAACACATCATGGACTCTGAGGTTTGCTGGCAATGTGATATGATAGGCTCAGTGGCCCACTCATTCCTGGACTGGGTAAGGTCCTGCAAACCTGGAATCCAGTTTCAGCATGGGTTGCTTCATCTTCCAGTTCCAGCAATTGATGTAGACCATATTGCTGACCTTGAATTCAATGTCCTTGTGCTTCCAGTTGTATTGGTCCACTGTCCAATGTTGTGCCTCTCTGATCTGCTCTTGGAGGTACTTGCAGCACTCCTTGCCATCAACTAAGTACTCGAAGTGACCAGGATCATTTACTCCTAGTTGCTGAGGTATGTCTGGATGGGCTTTGGGGTTCCATCCATAACATGCAAAGAATGGTGAGACACCAATGCTATTGTGGACTGTGTTGTTGTACACAAACACTGCAATGTCAAGCAAGTCAACCCAGTCATTCTGTTCATAGTTGCAGTACATCTGTAGGTACTGCTCTACCACTTGATTGACCCTTTCTGTTTGTCCATCTGTTTGAGGATGATAAGCCATGCTGAGTGAATGTTTGACACCCATCTGCTCAGCAAATGCCTTCCATGCCCTTGAGATGAACTGCCTGCCTCAGTCTGAGACCATTGTCAGCGGTCGCGCACCTGAAACCTGAGATCTGTGGTAGTGTTGATAATATCACCGATTCTGTCGAGTTATGCAACAGCGCTAATGGTATTTCGATTCCTAGTGAAATATGCGACAGAGCCTTCTCTGTCACCTTTCTCATTGGAATCTGTAGTTGTATTATCGTTATGACAGATTTCGACTAACCACTGTGGACACTCCATCCAGAGGTAGCTTGGCATGATCAAACTACAATATGACTCTAAGTGAACTTGATATTGACACCAATGGTCTGGTGTGGGTATGGAGTGTTGATGCTGACACGAGTGTCCAGTGTGTTGACTAACGCTTGAAGTGATCCCTGGGCTGCAGTGGATGTCTGCCTTTGGTTCTATGGTTATCCGGACCGCTGGTTTGCTACAAACTGCCTTCGGACGTCAGGAAACGGTGATACAACACATGTGCTTTGATGAGGAGCAATCTGTTGACTACTACTATGCTGACTGTGAACTAATGATACTTATTTGTTTGAAGTAATACTAGTTTGTTTGATGAGTAGAATGGATGAGGATCCACTTGACCACTTAGTGACAAGAAGGTATGGCTTTATACCTCTTCGCAGTGCTGCCAGTGCCACTGCTCCAACTCTCTCTTCAGAGAGTACCTCATTCGTCGAGTGCTATGCAGGAGTCCCTGTAACCCTACTCCTGTCCCTCTTGAGCTGCATGTCGACCTCCTTGACACAGCTCTTCTTCCTCATGAACTATATGCTGGTGTCCATGACACAGTTCTCCTTCCTCTTAACTGGTGACTGTTCTCTTGACTCCTATCTTGTGAACCCCTGAGTGGTAACCAGCTGCAATTTACTGAGCTTGGTCCCTGTCTTGGCAGAGCTTGGTCCTCCTCACCTGTGAGCTTGGTCCTCTGCATGTGTGAATTCATCGTATGAACATCCTTGTCACTGATCTCCACGGAATCTACTATACAACCTCTCCTACTACTGATCTCATCAGGATTCGTGATATCATCCTTGTTCATACCGATCTCACTGAGATCTGTCATAGAGCCGATTCTACTGCAGATCTCGGCGAATTCTGCTGCAAATCCTACGATCCGCCCAATCCCCTGATTCCTGCGCTCCCTCCATATGAACTAGCGGGTCTTCCTGCTTCCTGCGCACTCAGGCCCATGACAACCATATGGTCTGGATAACCAAAATGTCTGACCAGGTATCCCCATAGCAACACGGCAGTCTGTTTCGCCATGACTGTCTTATGAGTCAGGGCCAGAATGGCAAATTTGGTCAATCTGTCGACAATGACCAGGATGGAGTCATAACCTTTTGACAGTGGCAATCCTTTGATGAAATCCAGTGAGATGGAGCCCCACAGCCTGTCCAGTGTGGCGAGCAGTTGAAGCAAGCCATATGGTCGATGATGAGGAGCTTTGTATCTAGCACATACAGGGCAGCTCGCTACATAGTCAGCAATCCAAGCTGTCATGTTTGGCCACCAATAGTGCTGTTGTGCTGCTTTAATGGTGGCATCTCACCCCACATGTCCAGCTGTGATGCCATCGTGACATTGAGACATCACCATGAATCACAAGTGCTCCACAGACAGGGATTTGTCAGGGGTCTCGCGCCTGAAACCCAGGTCGGTCTGTCGAGATACTCGGTGACTATCAAACTGTGCGACAGCTATTGTCTCGGTATTGGTGACTATCAAGTTGCGCAGTGACAGCAGGTGGCATTCATTGTATATACTATTGTAGGTTTTGGCTGACCTCTGTGGACACTCCATTCAGGGGTAGCTTGGCACGATCAATATCAATGCTTCGGTTATGATGACACCAAGGTCTGGTGTGAGTGTTGATGATGATGAGGTTGATGACGTTGGTGATAAGGTTGGTGAGTGTTGATGATAATGAGGTTGATGGTGTTGGTGATAAGGTTGGTGGTGTCAACACGAGTGTCCAGTGTGTTGACTTTGATGCTTGAAGTGATCCCTGGACCGCAGTGGACTACTGCCTTCGGTTCTATCTATATCCGGACTGCTAACCTGCTATGGGGCACCTACAGACGTCAGGTAGTGGTGATACAACACACACACTATGATGAGGAGCAACCTTGATAGATTGCTGCTATGCTGACTGTAACTAATGAGTACTTGTGTTTCTAAAGTATTGACTAGTTGTATGGTGAGTAGAGTGGATGAGGATCCACTCGACCTATGATGATGAGAAAGCATAGTTATATACCTCTTCTCAGCATCGCCAGTGATGCTGCTCCTGCTCTCTCTCCAGAGAGTACCTTCTTCATCGAGTACTGCTCAGGGGCCTCTCCTGCTTGGCACCCCTGTGCCTCTTGAGTGGTGTCGACTCCTTTGACACTGCTCCTCCTCCTCATGACCTGGTGTCGACTCCTTCGACACTGCTCCTCTTCCTCAGGACCTGCCTGCTAGTGTCCTATACACTGCTCCTTCTCCTTTGACCAGTGACAGTTCCTTTGACTCTTGTCTCTCGAGCCCCTGAGTGGTAACCATCTGAGCTTGGTCCTCTTTGTGGCTGTGCCTGCTCCTTGAGCTTGGTCCTCCTCATGACTGTGCCTGGCCCTCCTCGCATGTGGCTCGTGTCCTCCTTTGCATGTGAGTCCGTAGGAGTCCATGGTCTCCATGGAGACTGCACTATGACCATGCTCTCTCCTGGTATCGACTAGATCTTTGATACCTGTGCTCCTTCCATATGAACCAGTGACCATCCTGCTTCTTGAGCATCCAGGCCCATGACAGGATTGTCCATCTACTTCTTTGGCACTTCATGAACAACGGTTGCTGGCCCTTCCTGGCATAGTTACCTTTGGAATAACCAACCTACCACCACTGTGCCACAAACCATCTCTGATCTCGAATGGCTTCTTCACATGTATCTCCTGCAGCTTGGTGTCCAAAGGCTGGAAGATCTTGGTTAGGTCCTTGAGCCCTTGCATTGCTATGGACTCCATTGTGAGCATGGGAGCCACTAATGCAGAGTCTTCACCCAAGCATGCTGTTAGGACTGACTCTGCTGAAATCTGTAGTATCGTGCTTGCTACTACATTTTCTGCTGGAATTTGCTGTAACCCACTTCCTATAGCGATTTTGGTTTCCACCTTTTCAAACACTTGGGAAGGCAGTAGTTGTCACACATTGTGCTCCTGCTCTTCACCAACTGGTTGCATGTCCACTTGTTGGGTGAGAGCATCAGGTTTGCTGCCCTTGTCTCCAGGTCGATATTGGAGCATGAAGTCAAAATCTGCCAACAATACTGCCCATCTTGCTTGTTGTCTGGTGATGCAGTGCTGGGACTTGAAGTACTTGAGCACCTCATGGTCTGTGAGGATGACCAGCTGACTTGGCAGTCCTGCTAGCATGTGTCACCACTGGGTGAGGCAAGCTACTACTGCCAGGAGTTCCTTGTCATGGATTTTGTAATTCTTCTCTGCTGATGACATCTTTCTGGAATAGAAAGCCACAGGGTGCCAATGCCCTTCATGCTCTTGTTTGAGCACTCCCACAATGGTGAAGTCACTTGCATCTGTTTCTAACCTTGTAGGGAGATGATAATTGAAATGCCAAAGTACTCCAGCCATTGTGAATGCTTGGATGAGCTTGTGGAAAGCCTGCTGAGCTTCTTCTGGCAACTCAAACTTCTTGAAGCATTCTGTTGGTTTCACCAGTGAGGTTAGAGGTTTGGTGATTTGAGCAAAGTGAGCTATGAATCACCAATAGAAGTTGGCAAAGCCTAGGAATTGTTGGATATCATGGATAGATTCCAGCATCGGCCACTCCTTGACCATCCATACCTTCTTGGGGTCCATTTCTACCCCAGTGGGTTTGATGATATACCCTAAGAACTCAATTGCAGTGGTGTTGAACTTGCACTTGGACAGTTTGGCAAACAGCCAGTTGCTTCTTAAGTGGATGAGGACTTCAGTGACATGCCATATGTGTTCCTTTTCATTGTCACTGAAGATCAAGAAGTCATCCAAATACACCACTACATACACTCTGATGATGTCTTGGAAGATGTCATTGATGAATGATTGGAAGTGAGCTGGTGCATTTGCTAGGCCAAATGGCATCACCAGGTACTCATAAAGTCCCAATTGTGTGCCAAAGGCTGTCTTCCATTCATCTCCTTTCATGATGCAGACGAGGTTGTATGCCACTTGCAGATCTAGCTTGGAATAGATCTTTGCCTTTCAGAGCAGGAAAAGCTGCTCCTCAATGAGGGGCAATGGTGCCCAGTTCTTAACAGTGATCTCATTCAGGCTGCAATAGTCCACACAGAGTCTGAGACCTCCATCTTTCTTTGGTACAAAGAGCACTGGTGATCTTGCCAGGCTCTTTGATGGTCATATGAACCCCTTTGTGAGGTTCTTGTCCAAGTACTTCCTCAATTCTGACATCTCCTTGGGCCCCTTGAGGTACAACAGGCCCTGAGGCAGCTTACTACCTTCCATCAACTTGAGATGGAGATCATGCTTGGTATGATGGGGCAGCTTATCTGCTTCCACCTCATCAAACACATCTTGCAAATGTTGATATGGCTTTGGTATGTCTGCAGCCATTGCCTTCTTTTCAACCTCAACTTCCATTTCAACTCCTTTATCAGCACCAGTAGGAACAAAACCAAAAGCCAGGAGTGATGAGGGTGTTATATCTAACAGCATGAACCCTATGGGTCTGTCTTTGAGGGCTGCCTGTAGTAGATGTTCTGCTGAGATGAATTCATTCCCATGTATGGTTGGTCACTTCAGCTTCTCATCATAGGAGCCTGCTACCACCATTTTTGCTGAAGTCAGTAATAGGCTGTCTCTTGTGGCGAGCTTATTTTTTAGCTTGCTAGTTACAGTGGAATTCACCAAATTTGGTGATAGATTGCTTTCTATGACAGATTCTGCCAATTTCATGTGTAAACCCCCAGTTACAGCTGCTTTGGGGGGTTGCTTCAGGGTTCTCTCCTGTTCTTGGGTCTTGAACTCAAGTTGACCTGTGTCCCATTGTATGGTTGGTTTGAGCCTCCTTAGCTCAGTGAAACCCAAGATGAGAACATAGTCAGTGGTGTCAGCTACCAAGACTTTGACTACTCCCAGGCTGTGTTTGCCAATAGCAACTTGTATGTTCGCTGAGCTATTGATAGCGAGTTGGTGTCCAGTGACACCATGTATCGATCTTGTTTTTGTAGGTTTTGTGGGTATTTGGTACTTACTAATGAATGAATCTGAAACTATAGACAAACCAGCACCAGTGTCAGTGAGTATTCAAGCTGGATGGTCTTGGACTGTCCCAGAGAGCTCTAATACTGCTTTCCCTCCACTGGTAGAGAAACATATGGGGCAATCTTGATATATACATAGAGATGGTGAGGAGGTTTGTAGAGCTATGCACACCACCAGTGCATTGCCCCACTGTCATTTCCCTTGTCACCATTGTCTTGGACCTCCTCATGGTCAGTGTCCATGGGTGGCTGGTACTGGCTGAAATCTAGATCCTTGGGCTCACCCATCTCAGGGCTGCCCAAGTGCCCATCTCCTGAGTCTGTGGTCCCCTCTTCGAAGGGGTCTTCTGTGGTTACCATGACCTTTGGACCCATGGGTCATGGGCCCAGAGAGTCTACCTTCTTGCTTGGGCAGTCTCTGGCCCAATGACCTATGCCCTTGCACAGATGGCAAGTGCTGCTGCTTGCTAATGCAGGGCTTCCTTGCCTTGGGACCTGAACGAGCTGATGAGGCAGGAGGTGACTGGTTGGCCAGTTAAGGTTTCCCATAGTTGTTTGTGCCAGTGGGCAAGCTGGATAAGTCTGTGCCAGTTGTCGAGCTGGGAATGAACCTTGAGCAGGTGGTGTAGACCAAGTTCCTGGGTTTGGTTGCAATGGAGTGGCACTTGGGTGCCTAGCAGAGGACTGCTGTAACAGCATCCTCTGCCTGTCAATCTCCTCAACTTCTCAATACCATTCCCACCTTTTTACAGGTGGGTTCTGCTCAAACTTCTCTTGTAAGCTGCATGTGAGGCTGCCTTGGAACAAGTCTATGACCAGCTCATTGTCATCTAAATTAACCTGTCCTTCCAAGTCTCTGAACTGCTCCATGTGTCATGTAGCAGCACCTGGTGCATCACTCATGAGCTGAAGAGCCAATAGCTTGTTGTAGGCCTCCATTCTGGTGTTTCAAGGATTGAACTGTTCTGACAGATGCTCTGTGAAGTAATGCCAATCATTGAACAGTCTTCCTTCCCATGCTCTATCGATATGGAGCTTCGAGGTCCACCATTTGTGAGCATTCCCTTCCAATTGAGCACCCATGTGGTTGATCATGTGTGTTTGCTCATAAATCTGGTTGAATTTGAACCAGGCTTCGGCTTCAAGGATGAAGATTTCTACATCTCTGGGATTGAACTTGGGAAATGGTGTAGCAATTGGCTTTGATTGTGAGGAGTTGGGATCTCCCATTGCACTGGCATTGTCCTCCTGTTCCAGGCCATAGGGGTCTGTCCTTGACCTATTGTACAGGTCCACCCTGGGCTTGACATATCTTGGCCCAGTGGGGGAAGCATACTTCTTGTAGTTGACATTGGACTGCTTGTCCAAGTCAGTGAATGATACTGATCACCTTGGTTGTGATGCTGGAGTTGGCATTTGCAGGTCTCCAATCATGGATTCGTCCCCTCCTGCCTGATCTTCTGAGTGAGAGAGCTTGATTGTCTCCTCGCCACTCAGGTGAGCATGGCATAGTCACTCCTCACATTGTCCTTGTCTGGTGGGCTCCAGCTGAGCTTCCATTAGGGAGAGTAGTCTCTCAAGCTTATTGTGCAGGTTCTCATCCATCATGTTGATTGTGGGGAGCTGCTTGAACAATCCACTCTAATGTCAGAGGTCGTGTGCCTGAAACCTGAGATCTGTAGTAGAATCGCTTCTATTACAGATCCTGTCGAGATATGTGATTGTGTGTGAGGTATTGCAATTCTTGTCAAGTTATGTCATAGTAATGTCCTTATGACTTTACTCGCTCAAATCTGTGATTGAGGTTATGCTATTGCAGATTTTGACTGACCACTGTGGGCACTCTGTCCAGAGGTAGCTCAGCACAATCAATAATGATATGAGTTGTACTAACACCAAGGCCTGGTGTGAATATGATTGTTTGGTGGCATCGACATGAGTGTCCAGTGTGTTGACTATTGCTTGAGGTGATCCCTGGACTGCAGTGGACTACTGCCTTTGGTTCTATCTTTATCTGGACCACTGGTTTGCTATGAACTGCCTTTGGACATCAGGGAGTGGTGATATGACACATGTGCTACAATGAGAGGCAACCTACTTGATTGTGACTATGCTGACTGAAACTAATGTGTACTTTATGATTGAAGTAATAACTAGTTCATATGGTGTAGAGTGGATGGCAATCCACTCACTTGTTGTGACAAGGAGCATGGTTATATACCATGCCTGCAGCATCGTCTGCAACACTTCCCCTCCTCCTCATCCCTCCTATCTGTCCTTCCTTGAACTAGGTGTCGATTCCCTCGACACTGCCCTTCCTCGTCATAACCTGTTTGCCAGTGTCCTTGTCACAGCTCTTCTTCCTCCCACCAGCGACAGTTCTCCTGGTCTTCATCTTGTGACCCCCTGAGGGGTAACCAGCTGCATAACCCTTCATCAGGGTGGCGAACCTAATGATCCCACTATCTTGCCCTGCTGAGATGTCTGTGCAATCAGCACCCACATGAGATCCATCATACAATCATGATATTATGGATCCTGGTGGAATTTGTGATACATTCCTTGTTCATACTGATCTGGATGAGATCTGTAATAGAGCCCTCTCTTCTACAGATCTTGATGAACTCTGTTGCAAAACCCTTGATCTGCCCAATCCTTGATTCCTGCACTCCTCCTCATGAGGCTTCTGCTTCTCATAAGTCTTCTGCTTCTGCGCTTCGGGTCCTATGACACCAGGTATGGGCCGGCATTGCATACAACCTTAAAACACCGTTGGTTGTGCTCCCATTGGCTTCAAGAAAGAAGCGGCCAGGGTTGGCAAATTAATGGGATCCTGCCAAGAACCTCACAGCTGTCAGATATCTGTAAGCGATCGCGCGCCAGAGACTAACTGAGGTTGATTGAGTAAGGTCTACTCGATATGATTCGCCTAAATGTAACCAAGTGTCGTCACCTAGTAAGTCTCGACTGACCGCCTTGAACACTCTGTTCAGAGGTTGTGCAGCATGGACATTGTTTGTTGGTGAGTGGGTGATACACCCTCCCCTACAGTACAAGTGTTTGTAGTACTGTTGATAATGCTCTTGGACATTGACTGGACCACGATATGCCAATTGCCTACAGAGGATGGGAGTTACTGGACTGCTGGTGTGAAACACCACCTACAATAACCAACTGGACTGCTGGTGTCGAGCAACACTGCCTACAGCAAGGGACTGGACCACAGGTGTTGAAGAACACTGCCTACAGTAATGAACTGGACTGCTAGTGTGAAGAACACTGCCTACAGTTGTCGACTAACGGTGATACAACACACACATTGAGAGTCATTGCAAGAGCACTGCTATTGCGATGATATGTAACTGAGTAAGTATAGAGTAAGTAAGTTGAGTTCAGAGTGGATGCCCCTCCACTTGTATGCTATGGTAGAATGAGAGTATTTATACATTCGGTTGGTGTTTTCCCTCGACACCTATCCTGCTCCTCTTGAGGGGCCTTTGTCCCCTGTTAGGCATTGTCTTGCCCTGCTGGCACTGACCCCTTTGATACTGTGCTACTACCATTTGCTCAGCATAAGGGTTATGCAACACTGCCCTCCTGCCTACATGCTCTCCTTCTGTCTGATGTGTGATGCCCCCTTTCAGCACAGCTCCCTTTCGACTTAATCATGTGAATTCCCTTTGAACCTCATGACCATACCCCCTGGTCATGTGGTCATGTTGGCACAGTTCTGTCTCAACTTGTTTGGATCGGCCAACTAGTTGAAGCGTGCTGATCCGACTGACTCCGACGTCGGCACAGCTCCGAATACTTGTTTGGATCGGCTGACTAGTGTCATGGGCCTGGATGCTCAAGAAGCAGGAGGGTCACTGGTTCATATGGAAGGAGCACAGGTATCGAAGAGCTAGTCGATACCAGTAGAGAGCATGGTCATAGTGCAGTCTCCATGGAGACCATGGACTCCTATGGACTCACATGCAAAGGAGCACTGAGCCATAGGCGAGGAAGGCCAGGCACAGCCATGAGGAGGACCAAGCTCACGGAGCAGGCACAGCCATGAAGGGGACCAAGCTCAAGGAGCATGCAGATGGTTACCACTCAGGGGCTCGAGAGACAAGAGTCAAAGGAACTGTCACCAGTCAAAGGAGAAGGAGCAGTGTATAGGACACTGGCAAGCAGGTCCTGAGGAGGAGGAGCAGTGTCGAAGGAGTCGACACCAGGTCATGAGGAGGAGGAGCAGTGTCGAAGGAGTCAACACAGCTCAAGAGGCACAGGGGTGCCAAGCAGGAGAGGCCCCTGAACAGTACTCGATGAAGAAGGTACTCTCTGGAGAGAGAGCAGGAGTAGCATCGCTGGCGATGCTGTGAAGAGGTATATAACCATGCTTTCTCATCATCAAAGGTCGAGTGGATCCTCATCCACTCTACTCACCATAACTAGTTATCACTTCAGCATAAGTATATATTAGTTTCAGTCAGCATAGCAGCAATCTATCAAGGTTGCTCCTCATTGTAGTGTGTGTGTTGTATCACCACTACCTGACATCTGAAGGCACCCATAGCAGGTTAGCAGTCCGGATCAAGATAGAACCAAAGGCAGTAGTCCACTGCGGTCTGGGGATCACTTCAAGCATCAAGTCAACACACTGGACACTCGTGTTGACGCCACCAACCTTATCACCAACACCATCAACCTCATTAACATCAACACTCACCAACCTTATCACCAACATAATCAACCTCATCATCATCAACACTCACACCAGACCTTGGTGTCATCATAACCGAAGCATTGATATTGATCGTGCCAAGCTACCCCTGAATGGAGTGTCCACAGAGGTCAGCCGAAACCTACAATAGTATATACAACGAATGCCACCTGCTGTCACTGCACAACTTGATAGTCACCGAGTATCTCGACAGACCGACCTGGGTTTCAGGCGCGAGACCCCTGACAACTAGTTGAGCATGCTGATCTGGCTGACTCCGACTGATCCCATGAGATCGATCTGGATTCCCAGGGTTCGATCGATCTCGTAATTCATGTGCGCTGCCAACCCGATTAATCTCGTTGATCCCTGATGGTTTTTTGGCTCTGATCAATCTGGCGCACCCTTCATATGTTGATCTTCTGTGCACCCTTCATATACTGCTCCATTACGTGACATTACCATAGCTGCCACTGATCATTTGGCGCACTCTCTTGCGCAGGCCAGCCGTCCCTGTGACAATATCGTGATTGGATCATTGATGGCCTGCTCCAGGATGCTGTAACTGCTGTTAGTGCATACCCTGATGGCCTGTCAGTTGTCAAAGATGGCAGCAGCTGTCATCAGGCTGCTATCTGCAAGCAACGGCAGGCTGAATACCACATTAAGATGCAGGAACACCTGCCAGCTTCACCAGACCTTAACCTTATTGAGAACATATGGTATATATTCAAAAACTTGCTTGGTAAGTGCTTGCCAGTACCGAAAACCCAGCATGAACTTGCCAGAGCTGCAGAGGAGGTGTGGAATACCCAGATCATGCTCAAACATATCAATCCTGTGATCAAGTTGATGGAGCATCACATGGAGCAAGTGCTTACTAAGCATGGAGGTCCACTCAAGTATTAGTCGGCTCTGAGACTCACTGCAATCGAAAGCTCTTCTTTCAAACTTGCTCACTAGGGGGTTTCAGTTTTTTTTTGCCCACAAAAACTAGAGTCTTCCAATAGTGAAAAAAGGCCAGAAAATTGATGCCCCCAAATGTAAGCTGTGTTTTTAGACCAAGAGTTAGGGTAGTGTTGACCAGAACATGAAGCAGTTCTGGAATCCAAACCACCTTGTAGCTCCACCATCTTTGACACTCTTGTTGCACAATCAAAGTAGATACAGTCATTATTGACACTGTGGGTTCATACAAAACAAGCTGTGCAGGAAAAGTGGAGGCATTTGTGCAAGTACATCACATGCCACATTACATGCAACATCATGTGCAACATCATGTGCAACATCATGTGCAACATCATGTGCAACATCATGTGAGTGAAGACTCAGGTCCAATTCTGAAAACTCTGCTGCAACTGTCCAGCTGAAGCAGTGTTTTCAAAAATTAGAGTATTTCCCAAAATGGCAGAGCTTATGTAAGAAATGAATATTTGACACAAGTGAAAACTCAAAAAAAACATGAGTTTCTGGAAAAAAAAAAAGAAAAAAACTGAAACCCCCTACTGTGTGTTTTGCTCAGTCTGACACTTATGAGAGATCACTCCTCCAAGCAGATGGAAGATATGCTATTGGATGGTTGATTTATTGTCTATTGGACCCTGTCCCCAAACTTTGGGCAGGGACTGTACAGCACCCAAGTTCATCTTGACGCAGCCGGATACAGTTCGTTGTCAGACTTTTTCACTTCCACGAAGAACGCTGAGCTATGTGGCCTCCTTCATCCGTCCAAACGAGCTAAAGTATCGAACAATTCCACTGCAACCTCATACACGCCGACTCCACGAAAGACGAAGATGACGAAACGGGAACTCCGCCTTGAGCAGCATAGGTCTGCATTGCCCGAGGAAGTCGTGACGTCGATTGACCCATCCGAAGGCTTAGGTCCTGACCCGGAGTATCAAGTTCACTGTGCGACGGCATCGCGTAACGCGGACAAGCGGTCTACAAGTGAGAGCGCACACGTTATCGATGGCGTATCGCACGAGGTCTCATGCATTCGCACAGACGTCTCTCGAGCCTACGTCCCGACTCAGTCGTGTGCGAGCAATGAGAGAATTGCCGAGATAAAGGGGGACGAAGATGCACTCACTAAGGTCTTGAATACGCTACGCAGCCAACGTCTGTTAATTCCAGTCATTGTGCAGTCGAAGCAACGCTTTATCGGCGAGGCCACGCCTGCAAAGCTAGGGTCTGAGGCGGAGGCGGTTGCATATCCTGACAACGTTGTCAGAGACCCCGAGAGCCTGAGAACACGATCCGGCTGATCTCGCCCAAGAAGGGTGTCGAACCCTCACACGAAGCGTCGAGCAGACGAATTCTGGAGCTAGCGGCTCGGCTCAACGCCTAGCACGTTCACACGCACACGCACACAAGGGCATGTTTGGGAGGCAAACCATGATGGTGTTTACATTTCGTTCAGCAGACCAGGATAGTGGCCGACCTCCAGGGATAGGGTGAAACGCCTTAGCTGGCTGGCATCGAGAATCAATCGTTTGGGATATGGTAGGAGGACTGAATAGCGCGAGCGTTGTCAACTATTGCTTGTCCTTGATGGGGACATCCTTGCCAGTGAGCTTCTTACTCTTGCATGCAACCGATTGTTGATAAAAGTAAATCAATGTAATCAGCTAAGGTCCACCCAAAAGGCTGTGTGAACGTTGATGAAGATGCACTTACAAGCCGGATCGGATGCCGTCGGAGACCTTCTCAACGGTTCCGGCGTTCTGCTCGTGGCCAGCCTTCTTGGAGCCGAACGCAACAGCCTTGTCGAGAGTGTCCTGCTGAGGAGCACCAGTGTTTTGATCAGGGGCGGACATTTCGAAAACTTGGGTTGGTGTTGGTGTCGGTGTTGGTGTTACAGGAAGGAAGTGAGCAAGAGATGTTTGGTGTGGGTGGACGAGAAGGAACCGGACGAAGACAGCGTTTATATATTCTTCAAGGCCATCTTGGACTCAAAGAGTTTAGCAGGCACTTCAGCGCAGGCAGCTTTACTCAGGCAGCCCCATTGCTCGACTCAGGACGGCAGCGCACGTTGCTCTCACTCCTTGCGCCCTCGTAAGTGGACTCTACGGGTAAAGGTCTCGATAAGGCAATATGGAGGCCCAATATAGCTCGAGGGTGCAGACACCTGTTCACGCCATCATCTTGGCACGGTTGCAAAGCTAGCCGAGGTTGCAGGACAAGTACAAACATGTTACATGCGGGTTAGAGGCCCAGTTTCACACAGCCAAACCTCCACATTCCGTATCGCAGTCTCGTGTTACAGTAGGGATGTTCAAGCCGTCGCGCGAGGCTAAAAAAATTAGAGTAAAGCAATTGAAGAATACCAAGGCTATACGCTGTCCGGAGCTACTAACAAGCTCGTATCCACAGGCGTATGTTCTTGAGAAAGGTCTTGTATTTCTTGTTCATCAGTTACATCCTCAATGAGCATATATATACCTTATCGCTATCTTTGATCATGTCCAAATGAGATGAGCTATCTCCTATAGGGTGTAAGCAGTTGCGCACCTGAAACCAGATTGGGTGTTTCCGATTGATTTTGGTGAGATCAATTGAGTAAGGTCTACTCAGTATGTTTCAACTGAAAGTAACCAGACAGCTTTGTTCTGGTAGGTTTTGGCTGACTGCCTTGAACACTCCATTCAGAGGTTGCACAGCACATCTGTTACTTCCTGGGGTGAGAGTATTACACTCTCTTATACAGCATGAGTGTTTGTAGTGCTGTTGCTAATGCTCTTCAACATCACCTGGACTGCGATATGCCTATCACCTACAGAGGACAGGAGTTACTGGACTGCAGGTGTTAGACACTGCCTACAATAACTGACTGGACCACAGGTGTTGAGTGTCATGGGCCTGAATGCTCAGGAAGCAGGAGGGTCACTGGTTCATATGGAAGGAGCACAGGTATCAGAGATCTAGTCAATACCAGTAAAGAGCATGGTCATAGTGCAGTCTCCATGGAGACCATGGACTCCTATGGACTCACATGCAAAGGAGCACTGAGCCATATGCAAGGAGGGCCAGGCACAGCCATGAGGAGGACCAAGCTCAAGGAGCAGGCACAGCCACAAAGAGGACCAAGCTCAAGGAGCAGGCACAGCCATGAAGAGGACCAAGCTCAGATGGTTACCACTCAGGGGCTCGAGAGACAAGTGTTGAAGGAGTCGACACCAGGTCATGAGGAGGAGGAGCAGTGTTGAAGGAGTCGACACAGCTCAAGAGGCACAGGGGTGCCAAGCAGGAGAGGCCCCTGAGCAGTACTCGATGAAGAAGGTACTCTCTGGAGAGAGAGCAGGAGCAGCATCACTGGCGATGCTGAGAAGAGGTATATAACCATGCTTTCTCATCATCATAGGTCAAGTGGATCCTCATCCACTCTACTCACCATAACTAGTTATCACTTCAGCATAAGTATATATTAGTTTCAGTCAGCATAGCAGCAATCTATCAAGGTTGCTCCTCATCGTAGTGTGTGTGTTGTATCACCACTACCTGACATCCGAAGGCGCCCATAGCAGGTTAGTGGTCCGGATCAAGATAGAACCGAAGGCAGTAGTCCACTGCGGTCCGGGGATCACTTCAAGCATCAGTCAACACACTGGACACTTGTGTTGATGCCACCAACCTTATCATCAACACCATCAACCTTATCACCAACACCTTCAACCTCATCATCATCAACACTCACACCAGACCTTGGTGTCATCATAACCTATGCATTGATATTGATCGTGCCAAGCTACCCCTGAATGGAGTGTCCACAGAGGTCAGCTGAAACCTACAATAGTATATACAACAAATGCCACCTGCTGTCATTGCACAACTTGATAGTCGCTGAATGACTAGCTCGTCAAGGCCGATACTGAGACAATAGCTGTCGCACAGTTTGATAGTCACTGAGTATCTCAACAGACCGACCTGGGTTTCAGGTGCGAGACCCCTGACATTGAGCAACACCACCTACAGTGATGAAACTGGACCACAGGTGTTGAGGAACACCACCTACAGTTGATGTCCGACAGTGATACAACACACATGTTCGAGATGTCATTGCAAAGGCTTCTTGCTATTGCAATGGTATGTAACTAAGTAAGAGTAAGTAAAGTAAAGAGTAGAGTGGATGAGGATCCACTCATTTGCTATGGTGAAGTAGTAGTAGTATTTATGTGTTTTGAGAGGTGCCACCTGTGGCACTGCTCCTACTCCTCTGGAGGAGTGTTCCTGTCCTCCTCATACTCCTCCTTTCCTTGGGCTGTGTATTGACTCTTCTTGACACTGCCCATCCTCCTCATGGTACCAATGTTGGCCCCCTTGGTCCAACTCCCTCTCCCCTCAATCCATGGTCATTCCTTGGCCCCTATCTGATGGCCCTCTCTGACCATGTGACCATCCTATTGTCTTGTTCTCATCCATGTGGTCTACCTTGTGACCAACCCTTATGTGATTGAGAGCACATCCCCCCCTGTGTGGTAACCTGCTGCTTGCTCCTGAGCTTGGTCCTCTTCTTGGCTAAACTTGGACCCCCTTTAGCACATGGGACCCTTCCTTGTGCCCTATCCTACCTTTGATGATGGAGGCCTTTCCTACCAAGCCTCCCATTGCCTCCTTGTGTCCTGTTGGTCTGTTCTGTACCAATGGGGCTTTGTGTGACATGCTTTGGTGAAATCAACCCAATGAGCATATTCCACTTGATTTCAGCAAAACCAATCAGGAACCCCCAACATGGTTGATTTCAGGAAAATCAACCAGAAACCCATCTTATGGTTGATGTCACATTTCATGCACCTTTTCCTGGGTGCACCACATCTTCATCTTCATCTTGGATCTTCCTGCACCGACCCGATCTCCTGTGCAGGTCCTGTGACAAGGTGTATCCTCTTCTTCGAGCACTGCCTCTCCTGCTCCTTCTTGTGGTCAGGGAGTCCTAGTGTCACTTCATCATTGATAGGGGTCACCCCCACTTCATACCAGTGGCAGTGTGCACCCCCTTTCATCTTGCTCCTGATGATGGTGCCCATCTTCTTATGCTAAGTTCATTGTCATGTAGGGCTCCACCTCATCAGGTGGTGGCCCCTTTCTTGTCAGTTGTCCTCCTATCATGAGATTGGTGAGAGAAGCATCTTTGAACCAGTTTCCATGAGATCTGTCATACAAGTGTGGTTCTACTGATCTGTCATGGGCCTGGATGCTCAAGAAGCAGGAGGGTCACTGGTTCATATGGAAGGAGCACAGGTATCGAAGATCTAGTCGATACCAGTAGAGAGCATGGTCGTAGTGCAGTCTCCATGGAGACCATGGACTTCTACAGACTCACATGCAAAGGAGGACCGAGCCATATGCGAGGAGGGCCAGGCACAGCCATGAGGAGGACCAAGCTCAAGGAGCAGGCACAGCCACAAAGAGGACCAAGCTCAAGGAGCATGCAGATGGTTACCACTCATGGGCTCGAGAGACAAGAGTCGAAGGCGTCGACACCAGGTCATGAGGAGGAGGAGCAGTGTCGAAGGAGTCGACACAACTAAGGAGGCACAGGGGTGCCAAACAAGCAGCAGGATAGCAAGGAGGAGGAGCAGTGTCGAAGGAGTCGACACAGCTCAAAGAGGCACAGGGGTGCCAAGCAGGCAGGAAAGGCCCCTGAACAGTACTCGATGAAGAAGGTACTCTCTGGAGAGAGAGCAGGAGCAGCATCGCTGGTGATGCTGTGAAGAGGTATATAACCATGCTTTCTCATCATCAAAGGTCGAGTGGATCCTCATCCACTCTACTCACCATACCACTAGTCAATACTTTAGAAACATAAGTACTCATTAGTTTCAGTCAGCATAGCAGCAATCTATCAAGGTTGCTCCTCATCATAGTGTGTGTGTAGTATCACCACTACCTGATGTCTGAAGGTGCCCCATAGCAGGTTAGTGGTCCGGATATAGATAGAACCAAAGGCAGTAGTCCACTGCAGTCCAGGGATCACCTCAAGCATCAGTCAACACACTGGACACTCGTGTTGACACCACCAACCTTAACACCAACACCATCAACCTCATCATCATCAACACTCACACCAGACCTTGGTGTCATCATAACCTACACATTGATATTGATTGTGCCGAGCTACCCCTGAACAGAGTGTCCACAGAGGTCAGCCGAAACCTACAATAGTATATACAATGAACACCACCTGCTGTCACTGTGCAACTTGATAGTCACCAACCAACTAGCTCATCAAGACAGATACTGAGACAATAGCTGTCGCACAGTTTGATAGTCACTGAGTATCTCGACAGACCGACCTGGGTTTCAGGCGCGAGACCCCTGACATGATCCTAATAAACTCTGTAGTAAGACCTTGCTCCTGCCAATCCCAACAAGTTCTGTCATAGAGCCTCAAGCCTACTGATCTCACTGAGCTCTGTCAGAACTCTCTCTTTGCCTGATCCATGATTGCTTTGCATGGTCTCTTCATATGATTCCAGTTCTCCCTGCACATTCATCCAGTCCCATGACACATGGCCTCTGCCATACTGCTCATCCTCCTGTTATTGATCGTGCCGAGCTACCTCTGGACAGAGTGTCCACAGCGGTTAGTCAAAACCTGCAATAGCAAAACCATTACTGCATCTTTGGGCAAGAAAGGTAATAGAGACACCTCTACTACATATCTCACCAAGAATTGTAATACCTCAAGTGTTGTTGCATATCTTGACAGAATTTGTAATAGATGCAGTTCTATTACAGATATCAGGTTTTAGGTGTGCGACCTCTGACAGTGGGCTGGGAGCCTTTGAGCCAGCGAGCCACCTCGCTGACCCGCAATCTAACAGGACCTCCATATTGTCTTCTGCATCAACCGACTGACCTCATCTTACGGCCGTGTGAGCCAGGCTGGGAAGTCAAAATCCGCAATAGATATCAGTTACGACATATTCAAGTGAGAAAAGTCATAGAAGGCTTCTACAACAGATTTCAGCAAGAATAATAATAAAGGTCTTTTACCACAGATCTCAATAGGATCGGTAGTAGTTATCTTTCTACTACAGATATCGGGTTTCAGGCACACAACCTCTGACAATCGGGAGATATCAGCCAAAGTACGGTGTTCAAGCTAAAGAGCAAAACACTATACTATATTGACATACTAGAAGTGAATGTGGTGGGAGCCTCAAGCTCCCTGCTGGACTTATATAGAAATGTGTGGCACATGCCTGACTGTGGGTGTATCCTACCTAATGACAGTGTGTAGCAACAAGTGGGACATGGTTGCATCCAATCTCTGTCTTGTATCAGCTCAGCCCAATTCCCTGTCTGATTTGCCTTACCTGATCCCAATCAGATCTACTTTACCTGATTGCCAACTGAATCTGCTCTGCCCAATCCTCTACAGATCTGATCTACATTATTCCTAGATTGGACTAGATCGCAATCTCCAACAGTTGCAAGGTGACTTGGAAAAATCTCAGACCACAGATCACATCACATGACTTCATGTCACGTGGTTACCAGGGTTCGGTAGAAGTACCTAGACGTGGACGACAGGTGGAGTCCAACACCAAAAGAGAGGGTCTGAACACCTAGAAGCATGCACGGTTCGCTACACACTTCAACACTTTCAACACCAAGAAGGCATTCAGCTATCTCTGCCTAGGCCCAGAAGCTTTCACTAGCAATGCTCATCCGTTGAGGATAGGCCTTCGAACATCCACTTCGTCCACTCTGCCAACCCACCTGGAGTCTCCGGGTCAGAGCGGGCACAGCGTCGTTGAGCGGAGTCGAAGTCGAAGCTATCGAGCACGATCACGCACTGTTGGATGTAAGGCAACATCTCATCGGGATTGACTTATAAAGATGGCTCAACTGCTTACATCAGAACTCATCTCGTTGGGTGCCGAGGCGAGACGGAAGCATCCCGAAATCAAGCAAGCTACCGATGCTGTGCTTGCTCGGCTCAAGTCCGAACCAGATGCTTTCCTTGCATCATCTCGCAATGATCACAGTCCGCCATCGGATCATGCGCTGCTCAGACCTGTCCTGCTGAGTTGCGAGACAAAGCTAACCAAGGTTATTTCGCTGGCTATGGCTTTGCTCCAGCGCATTCTCCTCCAGAAGCTCGTTCCAGATCAAGCCGTTCCCACCATCGTCGTCACCCTCAACAAGCTCCTTACACCACCAAGCAGAAGTGATGTAGATGTTCAGCTCAAGGTCCTCCAAATCGCTTCGGCTTTGCTAACATCGTACGCAACCCTTCACAATGCGGACCTGTCCAACACACTCATGCTCGGCTTCAAGCTGCATGAAGGCAGCAAGGTTGCTGTTGTCAGCTCAACAGCCGCAGCAACGCTCAGACAGAGCGTGATGGCAGTCTTCGATAAGGTCAAGGAAGAAGACAACGTGCTCGATGGTATCAAAGGTGGCGGCGAGGAAGCAGCTGCGTTGGCGCCTTTGGCTGCTATGTCGGTCGACCTTCCCGATGGTTCAGTCACGCTATTCCCTTCTTCGCGTGACGCATACCTCGTCTTCTCAGATCTGTGCTCTCTTGCAAACGCCGAGCCCGCTACCTTCTTATCACTGAACTCGCTGTCAAAAACATTCTCACTCGAGCTCATCGAGAGCGTCCTCTCGAATCACCATCGTCTCTTTGCCTCTTCTCCAGGCCCGAGGACGCAGTCCAGCTCTCATCCCGAACTTCTCTTCCTCCTGCGCGCCAAGGTATGCCCGCTACTTATCAAGAGTCTGAGCGAACCTCCTGCGTTCCCAGTTTATCTCCGCCTCATGCGCCTGCTCTTCCTCTTGCTGCGCCAATTTAGTTCGGATCTCATCCTCGAGGTCGAGATTCTGCTCTCCATTCTTCTTCGCACCATCAACCCATCTGCACAAGAGGTAGCTGCTCACGGAGGCTCGCACCCCTTGCTTTGGCAGCAAGTGCTGGCTCTCGAGGTCTTGCGCAGCCTTTGTTTCGATGACGTTTTTCTTCGAAACCTCTGGTCATGGTACGACTCGGGTAACGCCACTGCAGATGCCAACGACCAGGATCGAAGCTCTGTGCCAGTTTTTGCCAAGCTCGTCGAGACATTAAAAAGCGTGCTACTTCGAGGCGAGAAGCTTTTTGCTCTCCAAGCATCCATGCAAAGCGCTTCCGGCTCCACAGAATCTCCTGACAGTCCACGTCGTAGCCGCGTCCGTCCGAGCATCGATCGCAGCTTCAGTGGTCTCTACGAGGCAGCAGCCGGCGTCGCCAGTGCCGCCATGTCTGGTATGATTGCATCATCAGGATCCAATGGAACAGAGAGCCTTTCTTCCGCGAGCTCGCCACCAGTGCAGATTATCGATCAATTGGACAAGATCGATGCACCCAGCACCGCATCCACAGCTTTGCCCAAAACTTACCTGCAGCTTCTTGCGCTTCAATCGTGTCACTTCCTCACTCAGTCCATGGCGGCGTACGCTCTCCCTCTTTACTCGAGATTCGTCAACTCCCGCCCCAAAGATGTTGCTCCAGCACCTCCAGCGATGCAAGACGCCGACATTGATGGTCTTGGCAACGCCAGCGAACAGCAGGGTCTACGTCTCACAAAGGCCATGCTCAGAAGCTCAGCCCTGTCTCTCAGCGATGTATTAGCACGCTATTTGCGCGTCAAGTGCACCGATTCCGTCTTCGAAGAGACTCTGCTGGCGCTTCGCAATCTCACCAATGTAACTGGCGCACTCGAGCTTGTGCAGGATCGCGACGTCATCCTGACCCGCTTCATCTGTCTCGCCGTGCCGGGCTGGGACCCTGCGACACCGGCTGCTGTGCTGCGTGTCACTACAGCTGACCCGACAAGTGCACGCAAGATGTCCAATCGCAATCTCGCATGCTTAAGAGCATTCGTACAGGTCGCCTACTATCTTTCTGGAGCACTTGGACCCTTCTGGTATCCGGTCCTCAGCGGGCTTTGTAACGCTCAGGCTGTACTAGCGTCCATCAACCCGTCCATGCAAGCTGTGGACGAAAGTTGTCGAGCCGAAACGATAGACGAAGATGCTGCAGGTCGCAACAATCGGGCAACGCTCTCTACCTTGACCCACAGCTCCATGATGTCACTTGACACACGCTCCGGTCGCAGCCAGCTTCAGCTCCTCAACGCGGCGGATCTGCTTCCCAACCGATTGCAAGCACAGATCCAGAGCGTATTTGAGAACAGCGCGTCATTGGAGGACAGCGCTTTTCTACACTTCATCGTATCTCTTTGTCGTTTGAGCACAGATGCGATGCAGGCATCAGCGGATGGCACGGCCTCGGCAAACGCAGAAAGTGGGACCAGCTCACCTCGTCCATCTGACTTTAAGAGTCGCACATCGACTGAGGCTGCTGTCGAGTTCTATCCGCTCTCATGCCTGAATTCGGTCACGACGCTCAATGCTCGACGACTCTGCTCGCTCCCATCAGATCACGGCTGGGATGCTGTCACGAAACATCTCATTGAGACGCTTACCAATGATGGTCTCTCACCTGCATGGCGCACGCAAGCTTCGCAAATCGGCAACAAGCTGGCCTACGGAGCCATGTCCGAAGCTGCAGAGACATCAAAAAAGGACGAGAGGTTGCGCCTTCAAACGCAAGCGTTACACATTTTGTCTAGCGCGGGAGTGCTGGGTGGTAGAAGGGCTTCAGCTGTCGATATGGAAGTTCGGACCGCTACGGTCGAGAATCTAAACAGAGTACTCGAGGCCTTCGGCCATTCCCTTGTCTACGGCTGGGAGACCATCTTTGACATCTGCTCTGCAACCTGCAAGGAGGACAAGAGGAGCGCGGAGACGGCTCAACCATCTTCCACCTCTGGACAGAAGGTACAACTAGCCTTGGTGAAGGTCGGGTTCTCGTGCCTACAGCTCATCTGCTCCAACTTCCTCACCGCACTGGACCTTGAACAAATTCAAAGATGCTGCGGCTGCCTCAACGACTTTGGTAGCCAAGATTTTGATGTTAACGTTGCGCTTACCGCCAATGGCTGCCTGTGGGGCGTCACCGCAGAGATGGCGGGGCGGGCTAAGGCAAAGTCCGCAAATGGGAGCGCTGCTATGGTCGATGCAGACGCACAGCCATTGTGGCTGTTCCTGCTTCAGTGCCTTCTTTCAATCTCGCAGAGCACGCGCTCTGAAGTGCGCAACGGAGCCATCTCCAACCTCTTCCGCGTTCTTCAGCAGTACGGTGACATGTTGACCCCGGACGCGTGGCAAGAGATCGTCATCACAATCATCTTTCCCTTCATTAAGTTGCTGGGCGCCTCAATATTTGACCTGCAAAGTGGGACGACGAAGTCGACCGTCAAGCAAGATCGACAAGCCCAAATGATGGGTGTCCTCCCGAGCGAGCTCAAGCAATGGCAAGAGTCTCAGAGCCTGGCTCTCACGCAGTTCGGCGAAGTTGTCCGCTCCTATCTGCTGACAAAGCTCGTTTATGGTAGCGACTTTGAAGGAATGTGGACGAGACTGCTCGAACTGACGGAACGCATCTTCCTGCAAGGCCCAGCTGAAGTCTCGCAGGCGGCCATGAAGTGCTTCACCTCCTCATTGTCAGCCAACATGGACGAAGGGGCGCAGGCCGAAGATGATGTGCGAGCAAAGATCACGGTCGCTTGGGAACAAGCTTGGAAGATTTGGATCAAGATCGGCGAATACATCCGTAGCATGGGCGCACAGCAACCCAAAGCAGGTCAGGATCAGGTTGGAGAGGAGAACGAAACAACCTTCCACTTCACGCAGAAGAATCTCCTCGCATACATCCAGGCATTCCAACCAATCCATAGGGTCTTGCAAGCCAACTATGACGAGTCGAGAATCGAGACGCTACTTATCAGCCTCAAGGGCTGTGTCTCGTATCCGCACAGTCCGGACAACATGTCAGACAAGTCGGGCTTGACCAACGTACAAGAGGCAGCTCGTGCGACAGTCAGATCTGTTGCAGACGTCAAAGGTGTCCCCTCTCTCATCCTCTCGGATCTGTCAGAATGTATTTGCCTGGCGTATTCGGGCACTGATCAAGCAAAGAAGGGCCCCACCTTTGTTTGGCTCTCTCGCACTAGTATTCAGGAGGCTTTCAGCGTCTTTGTCTCGCATGAAGACGAAGCTAGCATCTACGCTGGTGGCGCATTCGAAAGTCTGCTTGCCGCTCTCGTCATCCCCATCAAGCTCAAATACGATTGTCCGGACAGTCCAAACTCCAGCTCAAAGACCGATGGCAAAGCAGAGGCACGACCAGTGTGGCAACTGGCTACATTGACACTCTGCCGTATCCTCGCACGCTGCTGTTCCAAGCTACACGCCAGAGTAAAGAAGGAGCAGCTCGATGCCACGACGGTAGAACGGCTGTGGACCAAGATCGTTGACGCGATTGAAGCTGCAGTCCTTGCTGACTCATCCTCGGCAAGTTCCTTGCCAAAGAGCGTCAAGGATCTCGACGAGCGATTCAGTCTCTTCCTTCTCAGCACGATCGAGAAGTTTGTTCTGCCTCACCTGGGCGAAAGCGAGGTGCCGGATCATCTCATTGAGCGGGTTGGCCGCGCACTGGCATTGGGCTCGAAGCTGTATAGCTTTAAGACGGAAAGCTGTCCTGCGAGTGGGCGAGTAGATGACCCGGTGGAAACGACCGGCGAGCGGTTCGCTTACTGGTGCTTCGACCTCTTGTTCCTCGGCTGCTGTGCCGAGTTCCACAAGGCCATCAGTAAGACCGAAGACGCATCACGGACGCATCACAGAGTTGCTACAGTCTTGCTTCGTCACTTGATCTCACGTTGCGAAGAGGTGCTACTGTCGTTTGCTCGAGACCTGCAGATTCGCGGTATGATCCCGATGCATAGAATTCGACAAGAAGAACTTAACTACGTCCTGCAGAGATATCTCGAACTGCAGCTCTCGCCTGATACTTACAGTAGTCCTGCCACCAACGCCGACGAATCTAAGAAAGCCACTTTGGTGACTGCTTGGCACAAGTCAGAGCGTGCTCACATCTTCTCTGCTTTCCGACGCTTGCTGCTGCTCGTATCGGTTCAGCAACCCTCCGCAGGCCCTTCGTCGGAGCTAGCTTGTATTGGCACTTCACTACCTCCAATCATTCCTGCTGATACAGCGGAGATGGCTCAAGCATTCAAAGACGTTGGGTTGGAGCTGGGAGTTGTCGGAACGACGCAAGATGTGTTCGGCCTAGGAAAGGGCGCTGATGCGATGGTAAAGGCAGCACCGAGGAAGTTGGCTGCAAAAGCTCTTTCGGTCATTGGTGACGAGCTTGCTGTTGCGGTTTTGCCGATCTGATCAGGTTGTCGCCTTAGCAAATGCAACACATTGGGAAAGATTAAAAATTTCGATGGTGCAATGAAATGGGCCGCAGGCCTCTTGAAAGAAGTGTACGAAAGAATGAAAGCAAACTTTGCGCTATGATGCAAAAGTGAAGGACGAGAATGCAAGAACGTAGAGCAAGGCGGGTGATGCGGAGAAGTAGGACGACCGGCCTAGAAGCCCATCTCCGTGGGAGCTTTCTGGCGCTCCAATAGTCGTTGTGGGTTCTGACCTGATGGTTCCAGTGGCAAGATAGGGTTTGTAGGGCCATGTCCGGCAGCGAGGGGCCCGAAATCTCCCTTCGGATTCGCAGCCGCAGGTGGCTCCGGTTTCTTTGGGTCGGGCTTGGGAGCGGATCCAGCACCGACCTGTAGATGTCCCACTGTAATTGGTTTTTTCCCTTGCTGTGCATCTCGCTGCGGCGAAGGTGCAGGTTCCTGCTCTTCCTTCTTCGATGGAGGTGAAGGTGGAGCCTTGTCATCGGTTTTCGGAGAAGCATGCGCGGGAAAGAGAACTTTCCCAGCAATAGTACCATCTTTATCGACATGCGTTGGATCTTTTGTCGGATCACCTTCGGGTACTTTCTCCACCACTTTCGGATCCACTTTGGCATCCGCTCTATTCCCGCCGCCACCGGGAGCAGCATTAGAGAGCGACGGCGGGGATTTCGGCTTGTACATATCCGTCAGCTTCTGCCACTGATCAATCGGAAGACATTGAGCCAGCTGCACTTGTTTCGCAGCAAATGGACTGGTAAGGGAAGGATTCTGCATCGTCGCACAAAAATTCTTACATTTCGTTCCTGCTGGACAAGTCGCTTGAACCACGTTATAACTAGCAATAGGCTTCCCATGGGCATTCGTGGTGCCACACAATACACGCATCGTTTCTGTACCGTATAGACAGCGAGAGTAGACAAGGTAGAGCTTCATCTCGTCGAATCCTCCTCCGTAACCTTGGGTTAGTTCAGGGTTGAAGGAGCAGAGTGCGGTCGCGTCCATTTGTTCGATACCTGATCCTGCTTCGCCGTTACTAGGAGGCGGTGGAGGTGAGGGATTGGAAGGGGTGCCGGGAGTGAAAGAGGTGATAGTAGGGTCTGAGTGAAAGAAGTAATCGTATTTTGTACGGCCCAGGCGACGTTCGACGGAAGCACATCGACCAGGTTGGACGTGGTAGGCTCCGATGTCTGCTTGTCCATCGTCTGACGACAGCTTGTACGATAGAACGCCAGTGGCGATACCAATCACTACCAGAATGAGATTGGTGAATCGAGCAATCATGATGCCGTTGCGTTGCAAATCTTGGCGGAAGAGCTTCGAGACCTGTCGAGCTTGCTATCGAGAATAAAAAGGAACGTGAGTCAAAGCTGCCAAAGCTCTGATGATTTGAAGGAAGCCAACGAGCCCTGCTCGAGTTTATGGTGGTGGTGTCTAGGAGGTTGATGAAAGGGCGAGACGGAAAGTGACGTACGGAAGGCAAGCCACACGGGGCTGTGATGGGAAAAAGCTTCCACCTCATCAAAGTGGAACCGATTAGAGCCATTTCATTCCCGTACATGACAACTTTTGCAGCGTCACTGAGGACGTTTTGGTGGGAGACACTAAAAGAGTCCTGAGTGTTGGTGGAGACTGAGATACAAAGCTCAGTTCAGCCCACACTCACGCTTACAGTATCGAGTCCGAAGACTTCCTCGAGGCCTAAATATCAAAGGTGGGACGCTCGTGTTGACATCGCGTCCGAACTCAGGAACAACCCACCATTCACAGTCAGGGATCACTCCACGCCTTTTTGCTCGTCGCCCAGGAATATTTCTCGCGGCATTACTGCAGTACGAATGATCAATTACACTATGCGACAAGAAGCTAGGTAGACACGATAGAGAGCGCAATGTAGCAGACAAACTCAAAAGAGGAGAGTGGTGGAATGCATCAGGATAGCATCGAAACTTAGATTTCAGCCCATCCTGCAGGCCCAGCGCGTTCGCCGCTGACAAGCGTCAACATGAACACAACGAGATTGGCGCTGAAAGCCATGCCGAACCCACGATAGAGCGAGCGTAACCCACCGAGCGAAGAGTAGCCCGTCTTTGCCGCCAAAATGCCTGACTGGACCATCGGATTCTGGCCCGCTGCCGATCCCGACGCGTCGTTTGACGCTGCGCCTCCTGAGTCGCTTGCTAAAGAAGAAGCCTGGTCGGGTTTCGCAAATCCCATGTGTGTCGCCACGGTCTCTTCAGTGACGATCCGATAGATGGCTTCGACAACACCGACGTATGCGATCGGGCGGGTCTCGACGCAAGTACGCAGACCGCGCACACCAACATTGCCTGTGATGAGTGTGATGCCGCCGTGCGAAGGTGTCAAGCCGGTCTGTTGTTGCTGCTGCTGTTGCAGTGTAGCGCTGGTGATCTTCCGAGCAGAGCTTGTACTGGCCTCTGCCTCGTTGCTGCCGTATGGCTTGCGGATCTGGAGCTGCAGTCTCCTACGCACAGTTTCGATCGGGAGGGTGATGCAAAGCGAGGCGGTGGAGATGGCGAGTTCTGCGATAGCATAGCTGATCGGGTGAGTGTTAGGTTCGAGTCGGAGCGTATGTTCGATGAGCAGAGGTGCGCCGAGCGAGAGAAGTGGGCGCAATGTGAAATCGAGGATGGTGGGGATGAGAAGATTGGGGTGAAGGTAGGCGGTCTTCCAGCCGCCCTCCTCACGCAGGGTCTTCTGCATGGCATCGTAAGGTCCACTGTACTTGCGATGAGCTGGTAGAGTGCTTTGAGCGATCAGTCTCGTACGGATGAGGTCCAGTGGCGAGACGAGAATGCCGGTGATGAGGTGTGACGAGAGCAACAGACCAAGCGTCTTGTATGGGTATGGCGCATACGCGAGCGGCAGAGGTGATAGCGCTGTTGGTGCGAACAATGAGATAATGGAAGAGACGAAAGGCTGGATTGTTGATGATGTGACCTCAAGAACGAAGGAAGTCAGCGAACCCTTCCAGAGACCGAGCCAACCTTCCTTTCCACGGCCCACAGCTTTCATCATCTCCCATACGCCTCCTCTAACTATGACTGGCATCACAAACTCAGGACGCGCGCCTTGGTCGTACACGCTCTTGCGCATCACATAGCCGGAAGCATCCACCATGCGTCTCTTCTTGCAACCGGAGTAGAGCAAAGTATCCGGACGAGTCGGTCTCGAGGTTACATCACGGAAGTAGGCATCGACGTCCTCCTCATCTGAGATTTCAGCATCAATCATCTCCTCTTCCGCTTCAGCATCCTGAGCGGTGGCCTCGTCGTCCCACTCATTAGCCTCGGGTGCAACTTCCTGCTCCCAAGCTTCAGGCTCTTCGCTGCCCTGGATCTCATGTGGAGGTCTTGTCTGCTGTGGCTTTGTGATTGTGCGTCGTTGTGCAAGCGCTGCTTGTTGCGTGAGCTGCAGCCAAACATCGTCCCTGGGCACCCACTGCACTTGCAGCAGAAGCTTACCGACCTCGAAGGGCATGGCAAGGCAAGTGCTAGTGCATTGGAGTGCTCCGCTGATGAGAAGGGCGCGGAAGATGTCTGAAATGCTGATGTCTGCCTCGCCAAAGCCGCCGGTTGATGTGGTTGCAACGTAGGGCTTTGCATCGTTCGATGAGATGTATCGGTTCGAGTCTGGTTTCATGGGAGCAGTAGCGGCCCCGAAGGCTTTGGATGATGAGCCGGCAGAGGCGCCTGCAGAAGACCGAGAGGCAGCGCCCGGGATGCCAGTGGTGCTGAAACGGGGAGCAGTAGCGATGAAGACCGAGTCCTCAGGTGGCTGATAGTAAGGCCGAAGCGGGTGCGCCTGCTGGGCACTGCCGGCCGGCGGAGGTTGCGCTGCCATGGCTGCTGGTGAAGATCACTTGAGTACTGTCTTGCTGCGGAGGATCACAAGAGAGTTTCTGACGAGCGAGAAGAGGCTTGGTCGTATTGGTGGTGATGGTGATAGTGATAGTGATAGTGATAGTGATAGTGATGCTGGTCAAAGAAGTATGTGTTGGAGTGTGCTGAGTGAGAGCGCTAGATGGACCCTTTTACTCTCCTCGATTGCGCTTTCCGTTGGTGTTGAGCGCGTGGAGGTGTTGGTCCGAATAAAAACTTGGGCTGCCGCGAAAGATTTGAAGGTCTAACATATCTCACCTCGCAGCAAGAACAAAGCGTTAACATGTCGACGTCAAAGAACGCCGCGCTCCATCCTTCTACGACCCACCGCTACAGCTGTGCTCGTGCATGGCGCAGAAGTTCGGCGTACAGAACCTTCAATTTATAATCTCAAGTCTGTGCAGCGAGCTTGTCGCTCTTGCAGCTTCCTTTGCTCCGTGGTAATGCCATCGGTAAGGCAATGTTGAAGAGCTTTCTATCCCGGGTGGCTAAATCTGCCCAAATGAAGTCTCTCCATTCGACGAAAGCGAGCCTTGTGAACGGTCAAACTTATGATAAAAGCTTATATACTCAAGATAGGACAATTTGTCGCGATGTTGCAAGTTTTCCGAGGTAACCCATTCACCACTCCCCTTCGACCCTCGATTCAGGAAGGATAGCAAGCTTGCGATGTTCCGGCTGCATTCAGAGCATCTACTCTTCGCCTTAGGCTGCTGCCTCGGCATGCAACTCTGGTGGCTTTGCAACCAGATTGTCTTGCTCGGATTTTGCATCCTAATCCTGCTTCTACTACTCAATATATCCCAACGCAGCTACGAAGACCGGGGGGATCCCGAGGCCCTTTTTGGAATCAGCAACTTCCATCTCGAAGCACCTGGGACACCTGATCGGTCTGTCTATTCTCGTGAACGCCTGAGACTCAATCAGGCATGCGATGTCATTACAACACAAAGCTATGATGGAACTCGCATATCAATTGACCATCTTTGGATCCAAGCACACAGAGCAGGACTCTCCGCCGAGACACAACCAAATGGAGGCTTCTCGCACGTCGATGTGAGCGTGAGCTCAAGCTCCTGTCAAGCCAGCGAGTCTGTATGTTCTTTTTTCCTACGGACATCACCATCTGGACGACGAAGTCTCCATTGCCCGACTAACATGGCTAGAAACCAACAGGCTGCAGTGCTCTACTGGCTTCAAAATGTTGGCAAGGACACGTCGCAGACTGATCTCGCAGAAAGTACTACTCTCTACAGATCTCCCCTCCCTCTCACCACCCGACTTTTGGCCGATCATTGCAGCACTTTTGAAGGAGGCCTGTACAGTCCCTGTGCATAAGTTTGAGGACAATCGGGTAATTTCCCGATTTAGCCAGTTACCCTGCATTTGGGTTGTTGTTGTCATTGAGCAATAGCACTACCATCATATTAATCAAGAACACTTCAAACACCAATATGGTCTGTGGCAATGAGCTCTCTCCAAGCAAGCATGCTTCAATCATTGAAATGCATGATACTGGGCTGCGCTACGCCTCTTTTTTTTTTCTTAAAAAAAAAAGAAGGGTGTGCTTCGCATCATGGAGCTAAGTGGCATTTCCAAGACAGCAGTTCACAAGACCATCCATAACTTTAAGGAGCATGGTACCTTTGAAACAAAAGCACAATCCAGCTGTCTGTGCTCCTGGACAGCTACCTCAGACTGATACCTTCAGTGTGAGGTACTCAAAAACCTGTTTTTATCATGGCAACAGCTGTCAGCATTGCTTGGTGGCATTCCAATAACACAGCTCTGGAAAGCAGCATACCAGGCTGGTATTAACTGCTGGATTGTGCTTTGAAAGCCATTTCTGACAGCCAAAAACCATCATAAATGTCTAGAATGGGCCAAGGCTAACAGCTCCACTGATCAGAGGGGTGTGCTGTTCACAGATGAGGCAGCTGTCAAGGTTGGCTACCAGCCTGGATGCACATGGGTTAGTCACCAGAAAAACACTCGAGAAGACATTAACAACATGGTTCTGACGTTCCGTTCCGGCCGTTTCAGCATCCAGGTGTCAGCGGTCACATGCCCAAAACCTGATATTTGTAATAGAAATGCATCTATTATGAATCCTGTTGAGATATGTGACAATGCTTGATGTATTACTGTTCTTGTTGAGATATGTAGTAGAGGAGTCTCTATCACCTTTCTCGCCCAAAGATGTAGTAGTGGTTTTGCTATTGCAGGTTTTGGCTAACTGCTGTGGGCACTCTGTCCAGAGGTAGCTCAGCATGATCAATAACAATGAATGTATTGTGACTACACCAAGGTCTGGTGTGATTGAGATTGCTGTCATCAACATGAGTGTCCAGTGTGTTGACTGAGTGCTTGAGGTGATCCCCAGACCACAGTGGATGACTGCCTTCAGTTCTATCATTATCCAGACCACTGGTTGCTATGAACTGCCTTCAGATGTCAGTGAGCAGTGATACAACACATGCACTACAATGGATGCAATCTTACTGGATTGCATCTTTGCTGACTTCGAAACTAATGTATACTTATGCTGAAGTGATAACTAGTTATGTATGGTGTAGAGTGGATGGAGATCCACTTGGCTTGTTATGAGCAGCATGACCCCTTATATGGGCATGACCCCCAGCATTGCCTGTGTCACTGCTGCTGCTCCAGGGAGTCCTTACAACACTGTCCCTCCTCCTCGAGCTCCTCCTGACCTTCCTGGCTAGTCTGTGAAGTCGCTCCTTAGTGCTGCTCCTCATCTTTCCTGCAGGTGGGAGCTGCTTCATCCTGGATAGTGGCCACTCCCGCTTTTATCTGAGTGGCGACTCGTCCCCCTACCTCATCTCCCCCATCCTCTGTCTCTGAGTTCATCCTTGGTGTCACAGGGTCAGCATATGAAGTGTGCGCCAAATTGATCTGCAGCAATCATTGGGAATTGACGATCTAATTGGGTTGGTAGTGCATATGACTTGCGAGATCAACCACACTCCAGGATCCTGGTTAATCTCACAAGGATCAATCAGAATCAGCCTGATTGGCATGTTCTCAGCAAGTCAGCCATCACAAGCAAGCATCGGGAGATTCAGGAAGGAGGATACTGGCATTAGGAGGAGAAGCACATGGGGATAACCACATGCAGGAGTGGGGACTGAGCTCAGCATCATGCAGATGGTTACCACTCAAGGGGTATGTGCATACAGCCACATAGGACCAAGCACAGGGGCAACCACATGATCAAGGGGCTTGGTGATAGGGCCCAACATGTGGTTAAAGGATTCACAAGATAAGGTTGAGAAGATGGTTGCCAGTGAAGAGAGAAGGAGCTGTGTCAAGAAGACCAGGGATTGTCTATGAGGAGGAGGAGCTGTGTTGCAGGGGTCATTACACATCACCAGGCAAAGAAGAGCATGGAGGCAAAGGGGCAGTATCACACAAACCAATACATGGTGTGAGCAGTAGAGGCACAGCATCAAAGGGATTGACACCAGCAGAAGGGAGAGTGTCAAGAGGAGGCAAAGGCCCCTCAGGAGGAGCAGGAGAGGTGTTGCAGGTGACACCAAGTGAATGCATAAATACTCTCATTCTACCATAGCATACAAGTGAATCCTCATCCACTCTACTCTATACTTTACATACTCTTTACTTGACTCATAGTTACATATCATTGCAATAGCAGAGCTTTGCAATGACACCTCAAACATGTGTGTTGTATCACCATTAGGCATCAACTGTAGGCAGTGTTCCTCAACACCTGCAGTCCTGTTCCTTACTGTAGGTGGTGTTCCTCAACACCTGCATTCCAGTCCCTTACTGTAGGTGGTGTTTGCTCAACATCTGCAGTCCAGTCAGTTATTGTAGGTGGTGTCCAACACCTGCAGTCCAGTAACTCCCATCCTCTGTAGGTGATAGGCATACCACAGTCCAGACAATGTTAAAGAGCATTAGCAACAGTACTATGAACACTCATACTGTAAAGGAGAGTGTATTACTCTCTCTCCAAAGATTAAACAGACATGCTGCACAACCTCTGAATGAAGTGTTCAAGGTGGTCAGCTGAGACCTACCAGTATGAAGCTGTCTGGTTACATTTAGTCAAAACATACTGAGTAGACCTTACTCAATTGATCTCACCAAAACCAATCAGAAACACCCAAACTGGTTTCTGGCACATGACTGCTTACAGGGGCCAAACCAAGTGTAAGTGATCATGTGCCTGAAACCAGGTTGGGTGTTTCTGATTGGTTTTGGTGAGATCAATTGAGTAAGGTCTACTCAGTATGTTTTGACTAAATGTAACCAGACAGCTTCATACTGGTAGGTCTCAGCTGACCACCTTGAACACTTCATTCAGAGGTTGTGCAGCATGTCTGTTTAATCTTTGGAGAGAGAGTAATACACTCTCCTTTACAGTATGAGTGTTCATAGTACTGTTGCTAATGCTCTTTAACATTGTCTGGACTGTGGTATGCCTATCACCTACAGAGGATGGGAGTTACTGGACTGCAGGTGTTGGACACCACCTACAATAACTGACTGGACTGCAGATGTTGAGCAAACACCACCTACAGTAAGGGACTGGAATGCAGGTGTTGAGGAACACCACCTACAGTAAGGAACAGGACTGCAGGTGTTGAGGAACACCACCTACAGTTGATGTCCGACAGTGATACAACACACACGTTTGAGGTGTCATTGCAATGATATGTAACTATGAGTCAAGTAAAGAGTAAGTAAAGTATAGAGTAGAGTGGATGAGGATCCACTTGTATGCTATAGTAGAATGAGAGTATTTATGCATTCGCTTGGTGTCGCCTGTGACACCTATCCTGTGTCAGAGGTCGCATGCCTGAAACCTGAGATCTGTAGTAGAATCGCTTCTATTACAGATCCTGTCGAGATATGTGATTGTGTGTGAGGTATTGCGATTCTCATCAAGTTATGTCATAGTAATGTCCTTATGAC